CGATTATTTTTGACCGTTTATTATGATAAAAAATATTTTTGATAACGTACAGGTTGTGCTATAGTAAAATGCACTTTTCACTGTGAATAAAATCAGATAATACTTAAGAGTTTACTAAGTTTTGTAACACAAAAAAGCATTTTCGTGTCATTCTTTGATGTGTGATAAAAATAAACTAGGCAGAGACAAGTCCGGACGTCATGGTGGTGGTGGTTTCAAGTCACGTTTAACAATTCGTCTTGAACTAGTATGAGCAATATCCAAAGTCGCAAAACGTCTACGACTAGAGAGAGTTTTTAGGTCCAAAGCTCCAAGAAATTAACGGATATAACCCCATACGAGATCTCAAAAGGACGGTGCCACATGTCACACGTCAAGCATGTGGTCGTACGGGAAATGTTTTTTTGATAAACGATACCGAAGGGGGTGAAATTGGGTGGACACCATCAAGTTCTGACTTGCCCCCTCCCGATTTCTTTTATGGGGATACCTCAAGAGCAGAGTTTTTAATAATGATTCTAAAATCCTAGGCGAACTAAAGCAAAACGTTCATCCAGAAATGGCGACTATTTCAATTTCGTTAGAAATAGTCTTCTTGTCAACCTGGAGGAAATCTTATCGATGTCATGAAAACATGAACTAAAAATGCTCACTTAACAAATCTGAGTAAACTATTATAAGTATAATCTGGACTATATCGTGTGGTCAAAATACATTTCGGTTCATTGAACCATTGTTGACTTTACGTAAAAAATAGTTTATAGTTCTGAATATTTTGTGCGGGTGCTTAGAAAAATATGTTTAACGCATAGATATGGATGAAGAAATGTCTTGGTTTCCTTCGACCTCGCATGGTAGCTTCCTAGAATGCATAGCTATATTAAAAACATCAACATAAAATTTTCGCCATCTTCAGCATGCAATGAGGTAATAACAAGTTTCGTATCATTTTCCTTATCTATCTATTATTCAATTATGTGTAAGCTAGTGAAAGTGATGCCTACACCTAATCATTAATATGTTCCATTAGGCGCGGTAACGTTTTGTGGTTATTGATATTAATTAGATTTCTTTTCTTTATTTGTGGCATTACAAAGCTATGCGAATATTGTGATAAAATGGCGTCAAGTAGGTTGACTCTGCGTTTCTTACCCAACGCCGTCATCAGTTCATAAAGGATCAAGCTCAGCGTATGTTAATCCCTCTGAGAATCAAATGTTACAAACATGTACATTAGAAATTCAACGGATCAAGTCTGTCAAACAGGCCCATACAATTTGATCATAGTCATTCTTTTCTTTCCCATATATCATATAATTATTGCAAATGCTGCGACGAAAACTGAATACTGATTTTCATACAAGAACATTGTAACTGCTTTGGCCCGAAATTTTACGAGCAACGTTTTTAGATGGTATCTGATACTACGCTAGGAGTAATGTTTTTTGAAGAATTTTCAGAGACAGTGTAATCGAACTCGTATGGTACTTTACCATATATGGATTGAGCTTTAGTCAAACAGTAACGATGACATTACCGTCATTTGTGTAATGTATGCAGTAGCATTGACATCAAAACCGCATTTATCATATACAGGGTGTCCCGAAAAAAGTGTGCTAATATTCTAGCAGCGGTTTCTAGAGCTTAAAATAGGAAGAAAAGTTTATATAAACATAGGTCGACAAACGTCTCCTAAGGGCGCTACGGTCTTTTAAAGGGGCTCCCCTGAAGATGGTTTTTTCTTCATATTTCCGAAACGTGTTGAGATAAAGACATAACATTTGGTTAACAATTTTAGGCAGTTTTTTTTGGAAGCGTATGCAACAGGGACGGACTCAGGTTATTTTAGCCCCAAAATTTTTGTGTGATTCTATTTTTGAAATTCAATTTTAGAATTTGAAAATTTAGGGTTTTCTAAATAAAAAGGTACTCTTATTGAATATCGATAAATTGTGCCATTTTTGAATAAAATCAACATGATAGGAAATGTACTGCGAATTTAAATGAATTGTTGATTATACATAGTTAGCATGACTGCAAACAAAAGTTGTTTTGATTTGTTATGACTTATTTTGACGTTAAGCTGACATTGTTAGAAGTGTAATATTACTAGATTAAAATCTAAATTTTTATGAAATCGATTTAAAATGCCAAGATTTACAGACAGAGAACTGACTGACATGCATTTTGTGTACGGGTTTTGCAATGGCAGTTCATTGGCAGCCTTAAGAGAATATCAAAGAAGATTTCCCAATCGCATAGTACCTGGACGTCGAATGTTTACTGATATGCACCGGCATTTGTCAAACCATGGAAGTTTTCAGCGCATGCAGGGCTCAGAAAGATCACTGGGAAATCATCGTATTGATATTGCTTTAAATATGTTTGAAAATAACCCACAAATAAGCATACGAAATGTCTTCAAAATGAGCTCATGGATGTAATACCATTGGATGTGCGCCAGCAGTTTCAAGAAAATATGTTTTTTCAACATGATGGCGCCCCTGCATATTTTGGACGCAATATTCGAAATTGGTTGAATGTCAATTTTCCAGACAGGTGGTTAGGCCGAGCGTGGCCGCCACGTTCACCTGACCTATATCCATTGGATTTCTATTTTTGGGGGTCATTAAAAGACCTAGTTTACTCGACTGAAGTAAATACTCAAGAAGATTTACTTCAAGGAATCCATCAGGCTGCAAATGAAATAAGAAGAAAAAGGTTTTCCACTTTTTGGGCTACGCAATCCTTAGTTCGTCGAGCGAGACTCTGTATCCAACAAAATGGAAATTTATTTGAACACTTATTGAAAAGCTAGTTTTAAGTATATCCAACTGTATGTCTTCTTTTTTAAACAAATTTCAATTTCGTTCGTAGAAAAAATTTATTTTTTTTGTTTTTGCCTAAATGTTAGCTACTAGGCAGTCTGATAAGTACCTGAAAATTCTAAGAGATGGCATTAGTATTCACTAATGCGAACCATTTTTGTCGAGCCTGATCCTTCAAATGACACCTGTCAAAACTTCAGCCATTCATGTTTACACATTTACAAGTTACAGCACTGAGAAGCGACTAACCTCAGAGTTTTTTTTAATATGGAAAAATCCGAGTTTCGAGTTTTGATCAAACACTACTATCTACGCAAGAAAACGATATCCGAGACCAAGGCCAAGCTGGATAAGTATTACCCGGACTCTGCACCGTCGATTGGAACGATTCATAAGTGGTTTACGGAGTTTCGTTGTGGCCGTACAAGCACAGTTGATGCTGAACGATCTGGGCGCCCAAAAGAGGTCACTACACCAGAAAACGTCGAAAAAATCCATGATATGATGTTGAATGATCCCAAAGTGAAATTGAGAGAGGTAGCTAATGCTGTAGGCATGTCATTGGAACGCGTAGGCAATATCGTCCATTCAGTTTTGGGCATGAAGAAGCTCTGCGCGCGATGGGTGCCGCGTTTGCTCACAGTGGACCAAAAACGAATTCGTGTGACGACTTCCCAGCAGAATTTGGCATTATTTTCGCGTAAGCCGACCGAGTTTTTGCGACGATTTGTAACCATGGATGAAACCTGGATCCATTACTACACTCCTGAGTCAACGCAACAGGCAAAACAGTGGGTTCCACCGGGCCGAAGTGCTCCGAAGCGTCCAAAAACGCAACAATGGGCCGGAAAGGTTATGGCCTCCGTATTTTGGGATGCTCATGGCATAATATTCGTGGACTATCTTGGAAAAGGTAAAACCATAACCGGAGCATATTATTCATCATTATTGGACCGATTGAAAATCGAAATCGCCGAAAAACGACCGCATTTGAAGAAGAAAAAACCGCTTTATCATCACGACAATGCGCCTGTTCATTCATGCTTAGTTGCACAAGCAAAATTGCACGAAATCGGCTTCGAATTGGTTCCTCAGCCACCGTATTCACCAGACCTGGCCCCCAGCGACTATTACTTATTCCCTAACCTGAAGAGATGGCTCATCGGTAAGCGTTTTTACTCAAATGAGGAGCTCATAGCTGAAACTGAAGCGTATTTTGGAGACCTTCCGATCGAGTACTTTTCGGACGGTATCAAAAAGTTAGAAAATCGTTGGATTCGCTGTATCGACCTAAAAGGAGAGTATGTTGAAAAATAAACCCGACTTTGGCCAAAAAAACGTCTCCGTGTTTCATTTTTCAGGGACTTATCAGACTGCCTAGTATGTTGCAATAGAAATATGTATTTATGTAATATTTACCAATTATTAAATTAGTTTTTTCGTTGCCATGGCTAATTATTCAACAATTCATTTAAATTCGCAGGACATGTGACAAATTTTTTAGTTTGATTTTATTCTAGGATGACACAATTTATCGATATTCAATAAGAGTAGCTTTTTTATGTAGGAAACTCTAAATTTTCAAGTTCTAAAATTGAATTTCAAAAATAGAATCACACAAAAATGTTGGGTCTCAAATAACCTGAGTCCGTCCCTGTTACATACGCTTCCAAACAAAACTGTCTAAAATTGTTAATATTTTTAAATCCAGCATAAAAAACTAGGCTAGAATACCAAATTTCATGTCTTTATCTCAATACGTTTCGGAAATATTAAGGAAAAACCATCTTCAGGGGAGCCCCTTTAAAAGACCGTAGCGCCATTAGGGGGCGTTTGTCGACCTATTATATAAACTTTTCTTCCTATTTTAAGCTCTAGAAACCGCTGGCAGAATATTGCACACTTTTTTCGGGACAACCTGTATGTATGTATAATAACAAGATGCTAGTTCTTTCAACTTGAGCTGAGAGTATCAACTTCAATTTATCCAAATGATTCTAAATTTTGAAAATCGTCAAAATATCAGTTACACTATTAGATGCATATATTTTTTATCACACTTTTCCAGAAAAACATATTTTTAACTAAGAATAGTCCTAATAATTAAAAACTGAGGATGCTTTCTTTGGAAGGATTTAAAAAAAAAGTTGATGGAATCATTTTTTGTTTCAGTGAAAGTCGAAGTTCACTCTAGCAGCAGTGGAGCAGGATCAGATGAAAACCTTTCATCCTCTGATCTATCAGAACGATCCGGCGACCATGAGCATGATTATGAAGACATCTATCTGGTGCGAGAAGATGCGAACAAGAAAGGGCTCGAAGATAAAGAACGGTGAGAAACATTACATAACTATCATTTCTTAATAAGTATACATCTTCACCTTATAGTAAACAATTTAGCATGAAACAAACTATTCATCTATACAGTGCTTTGAGCGGATTAAGTTGAATATTCTATTTAAGATGAAAAAGACGGCTGATATTTTTTTAAAAGATGATTGACATAACATACTATAACATTTTTGTTGAGTTACAAGCGATTCAATGTACAGAAACGATCGACCTTGACAGCCCGTTAGTTTGCCATTCTAACAGATAGTGGATGTATACTCCAGAGTAGCAATGAATCGGAAAGAAGCTTCAAAACGCGGATTCAAACCATCACCTATTTAATTAAAAAAATATTCCAAGATGGCGCCCAACTGCAATTTTGAAATTTTCGGCTGCAACTTTTGCGCTAGAATATATTTAGCTGCTCTCAAAATGACGCACTAATGAGTTACTCCAAAAGATTCTTTAAAAACCTAATGTTAGAAAAGTATGGACAACAAGCATCAAAAATATCTAGTTTTAGCCTTCAAACACGTTAATACCACTCAATCCGGTATGGTCAAGATATATTCTTTTTTGATTACAGAAAAAATAGTCGCTCTCAGTCCCGAGACTCTGGCTCACACAGCAGATCAGGTTCAGTAAGTTCCTCAAACTCCGGCTGTAATGTAGTAGTGAAAGTAACGAATGGCAAAGAAGAGAAAAGCCCTCCATTCAAGACAAATGAGTTCCTGCCTAAACCACAAAAGATCGAGAAGATAGAAAAGAAGGTTGTGAAGAAAGAAGAGGAGGATAAAAGTAACAATCAGAACAATGTGAGTAAAAATTCTGTCAAAAAATGGAACAGATGTTAGGCTAGTAGGCAAAATCCTTACCTTATTTTTCCAATAATTAGGTATTAGTTCGTAACAAGTCAAATACTTATAGCACAGCTTAAATAACAATCAGCAATGAAACTCTCCTGTCAGTGTCACCGTTATTTCGGCGGAGAAAGTCGAATGTAAATTCCCCCAATACAACGATGAAAGAGTTTTTAGTGCTCAGCAGCAGTCGGTACACTATATTTTGTAAAGAAAACTCTTGTCATCATACATACTCGTAAGAAAATCATTTTGCTTCCAAAGCCCAGAACGCTCAAAATATTTTACTTAACCTAACCTTTTTTGGAGTCTATCTGTTCTTACGGACGACTTCTTTGGAAGACCTCTAAAATGTGCCATACGTATATGCACCATTGGTTTTTCATAAATTCAAAGTCCCCGTTTTTCTGCACAAGCTAAGATGTTAATTAAATATTGTTTGCACTTTTCGAGTATCAGAATAGAACTACATTTTTTTGGAGTGAATGATGTTTGCGGATCCAGTTTGACGAGTGATTTTTTCACAAGAAAAGGTGTGATAAAAACGTATTTTAGATGTTCAGTCAATTGCAAATGGGAATGTGATTACATAAAACCGCTTGACTTGACTATTTCCTGAAATATCTTTTTTTATAGCAATGTTTAATACCGTCATCTGGCATTAAAAATTGCGTCAATTGAGTTCATGTTCTACTGTGTACTTAGAAAACGGCTACTAGAGTGGCAGAAGTGTCTTACATCATTACCCGTTGTTTCATTCATTGGCCAGGAAAACATGGAGTTGAATGAGCGAGACAACCAAAGGCTGAGTTTCACCTTAAACGAGCTTTTGTCCATGAGCACATTTAAGGAACTCAGGCCTTGAATATTTGTTGCAAATAAGAAAATACCAGTATGTTGAAGGGGTTGGAAAAAATTGATTATAATCAGACTGGTGAGATAGGAATTATTGTTAATTGAATTCTCAAGGATTCGAAAAAATTGGCATTCTTATCATATTTAACTCCTCCCAGTACCTGATTCAGTACCCATGTCTTAGTGAATAACCCACCGGCCAATAATGACTTTTCGTCCTTATAGTAATGCATCCCATTTAAATATATATACATGGTTTGTCCGGAAAGTAATAGGACTGAGTCGATGTAAAAAAGTTTATTGAGCCAATCGTTACAATTGTACAAAAACTTTCAAAATAGGCTCCTTCTGCGTCGATGCAGCGCTGCCAGCGCGATTTCCAAGCATTGAAGGCGTCACGGAAGGCATTCTCCGGAATAGCCTTGAGAGCCGCGTTGCATGCTGCTTGGATCCCCTCTGTCGTCTCACAATGCTTGCCTTTCATCGGCCTTTTCAGGCGAGGAAACAAAAAAAAGTACGAGGAGGCCACATCTGGGATGTAGGGCGGCTGCGGAAGCGTTGGGATGCCGGGCTTGGTCAGGTAGCTGTTCACAAGAAAGGCGGTGTGAGCCGGGGCGTTGTCGTGGTGCAACTTCCAGTCGGCTGCGATATCTTGTCGGACCCGACCGACCCTTTGTTTGAGTCTCCTAAGCACTTCCACGTAAAACTTGGCGTTGACGGTTTGTCCAGGAGGAACAAATTCATGGTGATGATGCCTTTGATGTCAAAAAAGACAATGAGCATCGTTTTCACTTTTTATTTGCTCATTCTTCCCTTTTTTGGGCGAGGAGACGCCGTCGTGTGCCACTCGGAAGATTGCCTCTTTGTCTCGGGATCATACTCAAAGATCCACGACTCGTCACCTGTGATTACGTTATTGAAAAATTGGGGGTCAATTTCACACATGTTCAAATTTTCTTGGCACACTTCCACTAGCCGCAATTTCTGGTCGTCAGTGAGCACTTTTGGGACCATCTTCGCGCACACCTTGCGCATGTTCAAATGCTGTGTCACAATGTCATGAACCACAGATTTTGGTAAATTTAACATCTAGGCAATTAAACGAATACTTAGTCGACGGTCTGAGTTCAAAACTTTGCGCACACGAGTCACATTATCGGTGTTTGTCGAAGACGAAGGTCTTCCAAGCACGGTCTTCATCAGCGACCTCTTCCCGGCACTCCAAAAAGGCCTGGTGCCACCGAAACACTCCACTTCTTGCTAAAGCAACACCTGGGTAAGCCTGCTTGATCATATCAAATGTCTCTGTCGCAGATTTACCGAGTTTCACACAGAATTTAATTTCGTACCTCTGCTCTAACGAACGCTGCATTTTCGGCTTGCACCACTCACAGAAACACGTCGCGCGAAAATGACTCTCCAAGTGCTCGGAGACAACTGACCAGCCGCTCATTCGTTAGCTAGGAACGCCCTCTACCGAATCCAGTCGGTGCGCGCACGCTCCGAAGTACAGTCATGGCGGAAGAAAATGAGTCCTATTACTTTCCGAACAAACCCTGTATATATATTTAATGCTTCTACCGTCATTAATATTGGTTGTTCCTCTTTGAAAATTTTGGGTGGCGTATTTCTTCTGTATGCAACTTGTTTTTCTACTGAATATATAAAAGCATTGCAAATGTTCAAAATAGCATTCATTGTCTATAGCTGAGCACCAGAATGGAAGAGAGGAGTGTAACGCAGCGTAAGCCACTGTTAATGCGACGTGCCTTTGAGTACGGTGAGATCCGCTGCTATCTTTCGTTTTATTACTACACTATTATCAATTCAAAGTTATTACACGGATTCAATTAATGCTGATATTTTATTTCAGGACCACAACATTTCTGCGACCTCATCATCACCCTCCCAGCAACCACCATCTCCGCCAACTTCATCCCCTCCAGAACGTCACCCTCAACCCCAATCCCAATCAACTCCCGACTCCTCCCCAAAATCCAAATTAACCTCCCGGCACTCTCTTCCTCCTCCCAAAACCCAACCAACCAATCAACTTCGTCCATTGCAACGTCTGGAGTCTGCACCACCACCTCCGCCGCCTCTGCCTTTGGTGATGCCTGCTCCGGAGGATGACGAACCTAGGGGAGCGGAGATCGTCGAGGTTGTTGAGGAACCTACCATTAGGCCGTCGGACGTTGTTAAGGGGATGTGTAGCAGCATGTCGGCCCTATGTGAGTAGTATTACGAATATCATTTTGAAACTGGCATTTAAGGAGCGGAGAAAATTAACGAAAAATTTACACAAATACTAATGATGTCAAAATGTCATCTTGCTTAGAGAGTCTGTTGAAGTTCTTTCTACGAAATCGGGAAATCGAATGCCGATTTGTAAAATCTCACGTTGCCTTACCGCAAGCGTACCGTTACCGTAACGCTGCCGCTGAGAGTTAAAATCAATTTATAAATTTACTAATGTTACGGCGCGTGACGCATAACCTAACCCAAAATTGCATTATTTTGCACATATTCGCAGACCTGAAGGGTCTTCATCACTTGTAGAAAGCATCTCATGATAATTTATGTTATTATCTAAATAAACCAACTGAAATACAGGAAACAATCTCAAAAGAAAGACGATTACGAAAGCCAAACAAAAGATATGTAATGTCAAACACATGATTTGCAGGTTCCTTCTCAGGAAAGCTCCGTCAATTCCTGTTTATAAACAGTTTAACATCAGGCGCATGATTTAAGCTCTGCGTTTCGGCAACGGTACGGCCGAGATGCAGAACGCAAGCGCGGATCCAGAATCAAGTCTTGCGAGGAGCAAGTAGTGTGGGTTGCCTACTTTCAGGAGGTATTGTCAAGAAGTTTGGACTTATAAAGTAATTAAAAATGGATATAATAAACAACAGTGTAAGAACAGAATCCACATTTATTTTGAGTTAAGTTTTCAAACAAAAAACAATGTCGTCTCTTCTTCCTTCCCCTTTCCTCTTCTTTGCTGCAAGTCTGAAGCCTCAGAGGGGGCCCCCTGGATCCGCGCTTGGCGAACGTCAGACTTTATAAATCGACCTTAAAGAATCAGCGGAGGAACCGCAGACTTTTTGCAACTTTGAATAAGTATTCTTTGTTAGATAAAGACTTTAACAGCCCCATTCCAACCAATCATTTTAATCAAGACCATTCACGTGTGATTGTATTTCGTTATTTGACAGCAACATATTTCCAGTTCAAGAGCTGCGAAAAGATTATGTAGATAAAATTTCTTCATAACATGCAAAATTCCATAGAAACCCGAATATTATCTACCAACAATAAGGACTAAAGTTTGCTGACTTACGATTACCGACTAGCTAAAACCTACAAACTCTTGAGTGGTATTTCCTAACTTCCGAGGGGCCAAAAATTGCCGGACGGACTGCAAACAGAAGGAATTACGTAACGTTGTTTTTCAAAATGTCATAAGCATCAACAACATGTGCTAATTTTACTTTTTAGGATTGTATTGTAAAGTTGAAAACATTCACTTTAAAAACATCGAGTTTGTCGATCTCTACAAAGTGTAGCGTAGTGTCACTTCTCTAAAGAGCGAGTTATGGCTCACCGCGAATCAATATATTTAAAATGAACCTTACACTAAGAACAGGAATTTGCTTGACATGAATCACCGTGTATAATCCCTACATTCAACAGGTGTGTTTATCCGATGTTTACCTACTGATTACGAAGAAAGTTATCCAAATTCATATATGTGAATCTCCGTATAATTGAATTAATAGACCAGTGAAGCTTTAGTAGGTACATATTTCTGAAATCCCTCTCTCCGGTTTATCGGTAATAGTGAAGCGTGAAATGTTCTCCTGCGTTCACCTTATAAGTGATGCTTATTGGGTATTTCACAACTGTGAGCTATTGACGTCAGCCAAAACCCAGCCGGATGTAGTGCTGTTTGTAAGGAAGTAAAATGGTTTCTGATTACTTCCGAAATAAGACAGTATAAAGTGCTATCTATTACCAGAATCGGCCACTGCGAGAGTGACAACAGCAAGCTGTCTGTTGGAACTGTATCCCAGTTCGCGCTGTCAGCCGGGGCACCACTGTGGCCGTTAGATGCCGCCGATTCTTGTGCTATAGTAGGATACGGTCTACTCGCCATGGAACAAACTAGTAATCGATTCTGGTAAAAGATGGCACTTTATGCTGTCTTATTTCGTTCGTTGTCATACCTAAGACCAAACCTTGCTGAGGAGTTGCCGAATAGCACGAAACTGTGGTTGAACGAAAGCTATATTACTACCTGATTACTTTTGTTTTAAGATTCGTTCTGGTCTTGTAGATAAATTTTTGCTTCTCATAAATGAGAGCTCGACCCCACCTTGATTAACCTACGAAGGCGCTTATGATAACATCCAAGATTTCCTTTTTCTGGTCCTGCAATCCCACTGGATTCTTAGTGTACCGGTAGCATGCATAAAATACATATTCCAAGTCACCAATCCACTTTGGTTCCATCTTTTGAACAGACAAGCATGCTAACAAGAAAATTATGCACAAAACCTTTTTTACGAGTATTAATAAAGCCGGTTGAGTGATACCTATTTTGAATCTGATAAGACTTTTTGAAACATGACCATCAAACGTTTGATCAGTGAATCATCAAGACCGGTCAAATATAGAATGAAAGAACATAAAGGGTATATAACAAAGGGAAATACCTCAAAATTGGCACTAAGCGAACATGTATAGAAAACAGGATATAGAGTAAAATGGGAAGAAGTCTCAATTGTAAATTAAGAAAATAACAATTATAAAAGGAAGGTAAAAAATCAACCTACATAAAATTAAACATCAACTGTGTTTCTAGTCCTTTTGTGGACTGTGACCCAATTTGGTTGAATATCCTTGAAGGGAAAATGTAACTGGTATTCTCCACCCTAACTGATGGCCGTGATTTTTTTGGACGTTCTTCCTCATAGTTTTTTGTTGGATCTCAAATGTGCAAACGTTCTGCTTTTCCATGTCAAGGCCAAACTGTTGACTGTTATATTATTTTCTCATATTACAAGCAACGTGTTTCCCTTTACATGTCGAAGTAGTATTTCTCGCGTTTCAGATGCGAAACAATACACTTACTAGAATTTAGTCGAATATTGTATAACAATTAAGCTTTTAGCGTGTTCGAGACGATGGACGAGGTTTAAAAAACGGCAGATAGTCTCATGCTCGCTTTTGAGAATGGGAATGCCTACCCCAGGCGGTCCTGGGTTACGCTGGTTTTGCGTGCTGCTATTTAAAAATCCGGAATGATGACTTCGCGAAATCTCATGTTACTAGACATTCAAACTATTGCAGTAACACACTGTATAGGAATGTGATAATGAAAAGAAAAACAAACGGTCATCTGGAAGACAGATAAATAAAACATATTGTCATTGTTCTGAAGAAGATCCCATTTGTGACTGAAACGTTTACAGGAAGGAAGATTCTGCCAGACAAGCATGAAGGATTATTATCAAAATCACATTGGTCTCAAGACTATATCAAAGACTGAAAACCGCTATAGTGTTGGATACATTACGCTCGGTAATATTACCTCTTTATAGTAGTACTTGCTCTGGGCCGAAAGGTGTTGTAACTTCCATACTAAAAACGGATCTTTTTCGATTATGTAAACGTTTTATGCCGTCAATGCATCTTAAATGAATAGCATTTGTGCAAAGCTCATGCACTCAAATACCTATAATGCTCCTATCTGTAATTGCCATCATCCTGCAGAGCGTACAGTTGGCGCGTTACGGCAGTTAAGCGAAAGTGTAGGAAAAGGATATGTGTCGTAAAATAGCAAGTCGATTTCGTAAATTGCATTTGTATTAAGTATTATTTCTGACATATTAGACACCCTTATTTGTTATTACAAAAATTTGTAAGAGACGAAGTGGAATTGCAAGGTACACGCATACGTACCCCTTTCAACGTGCTGAAAGTAAGATTATTGAGGTCACTAGGCTAATTCAGCTAATTTGGGTAGCTTTAATTCTTCAATATAGCTTCACTGTATATGGTAGCCGCCTCCTCGCTAATTAGGCGACTAGTTATCTGCTAAATACCGTAAAAATGTTCCAATTAGCATCTAAATGTTGATTATACAAATCATCATTCAAAAATGTTAACCCAAATCTTTGAATTCAATTATAAAATTATGCCAAAATGCAGTTTAATAATCTCTATCGGATAATTAATCCTTGAATACGGGGCCATGTTAACAAAAGAAAATTCATATCCTTTGCAGAAGCAGAAAGTAATCGTATGCCGTATCACTGAATAGGCGTAGTGATTGGTCTTTCCAAAGAAGCAAGTGTAGCATTTTTGAAAAGAGATTTAAAAGTTCTGTTAAACGCATTTTTTTCATTTTTATTTAATTGTTAGACCATTTCATTATCAACATAACTGAATTTTCAGTTCTATAATTAATTTATCTTATTTGTTTATGTTTATTTAATCGTAAGGGAAGAACGAATATAATATAAACATGAAATTTTATTTACATTTTTCGAAAAATTACGCTTATTTTCGAAAAAATGTAACGTCTGTCACTTGAAATATGAGATTTGTCTGATTTAAAAATTACAGAGTTCCGGAAACTTTTTGGCTGAAGTCTGAGAGGCCGACGATGAAAAAGTTAAGTACATGTTTTTGTCATACATCATCCAAAAGATATGATACTGCAAATACGAATACAAAAGGTTTGAGGTGGATTTGATACTACATTTTCCAAAATGATGGATCTGCACGATGTCAGCGTTGAGAGCTTGTAGATAAAGAAGCTCATATCTCAATCGAACCAAGCGATACGTTTTTCTTATCCTCTTAACCAACCCTATGGCAAACCCTGTACCGTGCTAAAATAGGGTCCTGGAAATCTAGATTCTAGACCTTGTATTTCGAAGACTAGCGGTGTAGAGCCTTTAGGCACATCAGGGATACTCGTTTATAGTAAATGTAGTAGTCAGTTTCCTAAGATGCTGCTAGGGTACTATAGACTTTTTTCCAGACAATGTGGTCTTGCTGACACACGCTGTGCAGCCACTTACTTTTAATACCAACGTATGAGATAAAAGTTTTGAGAAAAAGCCTGCCATGTAATTCCTACCCGATTTTGATAGTTGATCTAATTACTATGAAGTAAGTAAAACAATCGTGGATTAACGAACGAGAAACCGTTTAAAGAATCTGGTTCAAAATGTCGTTGAAACTCGTAAGAATTTCTACAGGTTAGATGGACAGTTACCAAAAATAAAACTGTAAACTTGTTCAGAAATCAAAATGTTAGACAGGCAAGCATTTTTGGGACAAAAAAGACTGGAAAGAAGGATACCTCTCGATAATTTGCCGAACACTGGAAGACCTCATGTTTTATCTCAAAACAGGATAATAGATTGATAGAAAGTGCTCAAGACAAAACTGGAATATCTATTCGAAAGCTAGGTCGCCGTTTAAGAACCTTGTTTAAAGCCGTGCAAAGGAGTTTGTCCGGAAATGACGTTTTTGTAAAAGAAAGATTGTCTCAAATAGCTCGAAAGGATACCTAGATGTTAGAGGGCTCTTAGGCATTTCGTGAGAAACCGCCTGATTGTATTGTAGAATAAAATGTATTTTACGCTGTTGCATTCATAAATGACAGGACTGTATTTTACACCTTCTATATTGAAAATTGTCCAAATGAAGTTACATATCATGCAAGAGCGAATATACCTTAGGTTGGTCGAATTCGAGAAGCTGTGGACGCCGGGCTTTATACCCAAAGACGCTTAAAAAAGATTAACTTTATTAACACCCATTATCAGAAGGCCGATGAAATATTTGATGCTTCATTTCATTTTCATTATATCAGGTGAGCTCGGGAATGGTTGGAAGCAACGCTGGAGCAGAATAACGTTGATTATGTACCGAGAGATGTACAAATGTACCACAAGCTCGGCCAATCAAAGAATAAGACAGCGTAAAGCGCCATCTATCACACCAGAATCGACCACTGCGGAAAGCGCGATTCTGGTGTGATAGATGGCGCTTTACGTTGTCTTATTTGCGATAGACGGTACCTCCGGTATAGAGGATAGTTGCGATGCTTTCGTTCATTTATTTAGAGACAAAAGACCAAGCCTAGACCATGCTGATGTGTAGCCAAGAAGCACGATACAGCTGTCCTTGGTTGGCTGTCTTTTTGGTCGGACAGACGGAAGCTTCATATTTGGTTCAATCAAAGAATGTTGATCGTTACTGTATCAAAAAGTTTATAATAACGAATGGAAAACACAAAAATGAACAGCAATCGCGGCCGTGCATTTTTAGAAAAACTCGTGAAGCGGACATTAAAATTGAACCAAAAATAATGAGTCAAGTTTTAACTAAATTGCGTGCAATTATATATTATCAATATGTATGATATAATTAACCATTTATATGTTGATTTTAATAAAATTTCGTTGATCAAGCCTGTTATATTTGTTCTCACACTTATGTCCGATACCTTATTTGCATAATTGGAGAAATTGTTTATTCAGTATCTATGATTGTGTGCTCTCTACTACGTCTATGGAAGTAACACGAGTCAACTAATTTCACTTAATATCATACAGCAAACTAAGCATAAAGAAAATCATACGGCGCTGTGCTGCACTCTCTGCTTAATTACTTATTACAAATTCATGAACAAAAAAATATAACCGTAAATGTACTATAGCTAGTGTTATAGATAGTATTCAGTAGCGCACATGTCATTCCTTACTAGAAATGTGTGAGCCATATGGCTTTGCCTTACTTTACCATCATGAGGCTCAACAGTAGGTTTGAAAGATGAGACTGGCGATTGTCGAAGATGATGCCTCAAGTGAGTCACTTACTAAGACACTATCAAACCCTTTTTTTAAGCCGGAGCAGCAGCGCGGTCAGAAGCCTAAATGTCACATTACCCCGGCTGCTTTGAGAATCCCAAAGATATTTTGTTAATCCGATTTTTTAACTGCCTAAAGGGTAGTAGAACTGGGAAAAGCCTGCTCTAGTAGATTGTTCCACAATTTTGACAGCGGAGAGGTCTTATCGACCAGTTCTGGATATACGAAGTTTGATACGGATGGGAGGCCGAAGGCAGGCGGGTGTGTCTGCCAGGCATATCGCGAGGCGGCATCATGGAGGAGAGCTCTGAGGAGCAAAGCCCGTTCGCGTAGCGGTAGAAGAGAGTTAGATCGCCGACGGCCTGCTAGTGCAAAAGGGTCCTGCGACTGTCTGTTAAAGAAGAGTCATCGATCAGTCGGACATCCCTCCCCTGAACAGCATCGAGCATAAATTATGTTGTCGGGGAGACAGCACCCCTAATGTGTGAGCAATACTCGAGCCTCCGATCTTATCTGGGCGTTGTGTAGAGCAACGAGCATTGTATCAAGGATTGTTGATAGAATTTGTTGAAAAGATTTCTCATCCTGCTAGGCGTTATCTCAGTCGAGGCTGAGGACTGTTTCAGCATTAGATGAGCATGGAGATGATTCATCCTGTGTAGAACACGATCGTTCGTTATTACCTAATCCGTATGAGTCCTCTGTATATCTCAAATACTTGGAGATGATCTGTATCTGAAATGCTTGGAGATATTCTAAATCCTCCTTGAGTGTCCGCATCTTACAACAGCACAATAACAGAGACAAAAAAATTAGGATTTTAATACCATTAATAAGATGGAAAAGGTTTAGGTTTGCGTTGAACTTGTCTCATATTGACGCATCTACATATGAAATGATTCGTTCCTAAATAGTTTTGGAAACTTTAATATTAGAATAGTGAAAGTGATTGAGGGTGAAAATCATTTAAGTGGCATGTCATTCGTATAAAACATCATAAATGGCAAACTTATAGAAAAATGTATTCCAGTAATAATTGTGGATGGTCCGGAAGATTATTGAATGTACTTTAGTTAATTTCAGAACCGTTAAGAACTGTTGTTGAGCATACTGAATATTGCCAGTATCTTCAAGGCATTTCACTGGTGGAAGGATCCTCCGGCCAGTCATCGATGGGGGTAGATTTAAATTAAAATTTCGATAAAACGTCATGTACGGTTTTGGAGCTTTATGTGTACAAGATTTTTGAAATCGACAAAACTTGATTTCGGAATAATTTGCGAGCATCGGTTCACTTACATTGAAAAATCAATATTCCAAAGTATGTAGTCCTTTCTGTCCTCCAAGTCTCTCAGATCATTTTAAAAGAAAATTTTAAACTATATTCGCAGGCTTTTTGTTGGTGATGATCGTTTTAAAGTTGTTCAAACTGCTTTCGATCTTCCACATTTTCCGAACGCTATCTTTTACATCTACTATAATGATGTCAAAGAATGCCTTCGCCTATTAAAAAACCACTTAATCATTTTCCGTCTCTGATGCAGGAACCACCTGTTTGTTATAGACTTTAATGTAGAACTAGGTTCTAATCAATTCTACAGAATTACCTATATTACCATATTATTCCGTATAAACTGTGTAGAAATAGAAACGAAGTTGAGACAAAACATACAACAAAACGGGATTCGGAGTAAGCCATAATCGCATAAAATGTTTTTAAATGCATGCTTAAGTGGCCAGAAAGATTTGTCGAAATAAAAGTTCTTGTAAAAATATTTAGCTGAGCGGACAAACGTATAACAACGATGTTCATAGGTGTTTTAGTATTTTTTTAATTTTCGCTTAAATGTCGTAGCAGCTCCACCTCTTTCAAAATCGTAGCATCATTTTATATTATGGTAATGGTAGTTCTTGGAATGGTGCTCCTCCAAATGCACATACTGTATAATATTAAAAACGATATTGATTCTATACTTCCCACGCTATCGTAACCATTTCTAGTACAATTTTCTACGAAGTGCAATGACATCAAATAGACGTAGTTTTTGTCACAATTACGGGTGCACTATTTGGTCTTTTCATGAAAAAAAAAGCGTACCTCAGATTGCAGCACGTATACGGGAGTCTCACTTCTTTAGTGTAAAACTGCTTATCAACAATGTTTGATAACTAATTACAATAGCTCTTGATACATAGTTCTATATTATACTATATGATAGTACGTCACGAAATCAAATAACCTCATTCAATTACACTCCAAGCTCATATATACATATGTAAATATCGCGCACACCTCACATGTCGCCGCGTCGCTTGCTAGTATACCTCCGTTCATTAGTCACTAGGATCGAATATCAAAGATGCAATATTAATAGATAATTCCGTGGCGTATGACATATATACGACCGATAGGCCATCCGTTTTAAGGGCAAATGTACGAGCAAATCTATGAGGTGTGACTTATGTTAAATAGGTTACTGGGGTTGGAAGTGTGTTAATATACAAACATCAAAAAATCATCTCTCAATTCAATTCAATTCAATTATATACCTTTCCCGTCCTCTACAACCCCACACCCCAATTTTTAACCTCTAAAGATTTTCTCAAAAATGATCAGGATCCCCTGAAATGTCGAAATACGATTTCTACTTTTTTCGTTTTTGGCTTTTTCCTGGCCGTCACAGGACCAATTTTCAAAAATCTGTAAAAATTCCATCTAAATCCGAGTATTACTTTACAAGTTATAGGTAGATCAAGGACAGACAGACAGATCGACAGATCGACGGAAATAAGTGTCATAGTGTTTCGTGATGAACATGTCGTATTACCTACACCCAAAAAACATCTGTCTATAAATATCTCATTTTCAAAGTTTTCTTCATTACAATTCTTCCTCCGCCAGTAGACGTGGGAAGTAAAAGGGCAACGCAGCCTTTGCTGGCCCATGAGTAACCTTGAAAGTGTCAATTTGTCCGCAACATCTAAAAAATCAATCTCATCTATCCTCCACTCGTCACGCTCCTGAAGATTTCATCTATCTCAAACTACGCCACTGCCTTTCTAACCATCACCGCTTTCCCCCATTCACAGCCGCGAGACGTCTGAACTCCTCATGCTCGGACCTGACCATCGTCAGTCTAGACCCGGAAACCATCAGTGGTGGAGGCACCATTTCGTCCAGTGGCGGCGTCAGTGGGGTGCACTTGGTGAACAAGCAACGGGTGCTGCCCTTCGTGCCCCCGTCATTCCCCGGCAGCAACAGCAACAACCTTATCAAGCCTTCGGAATACTTGAAGAGTATCAGCGATAAAAGGAGTTCAGTGTCGTCCAGCAGGAGTTTGAGTGAGAGCGAAGACGGAGGACCTATTTTGCAGAACGGTGAGTTCTACTTTCTTGAGCCTAAGGTTTCTACTTTATGGTTTTGTAGATTGATGATTAATTATTGGGTGCTTCTCATTCACGACTTAATATTTTGGCGTTTGATTGTACTTTTGGTTTCTTAAAAATATCCGAAATTACTTTAGACACTAAGTTGCATATTAAGTTAACATTAGGTTCCCGAAGACTCCAGCTTCTAAAAAAGTTTGCGAAGCTACCGAGCTTTTGGTCTGATTGTCAAGACGTACAAGCTTTCTTGATGTAACTTTATATAAAAGAATCATCAAAATTCGAGAGTGCTGCCCGAATTATCTAGGGGCCAAGAATTAGCGGACACAGATAGACAGACGGATGTCGAAATCGGATGATATAGTTTTTCGCAATAGGTCACTTTTTCGCATAGGTGGCTGAAATATTGATGATTTTTTTCAATTTTAACCTGTGATTATATTCGATGGCCAGGATAACATGACAATTACTTAGGTTGGATACTATAGGGAAGTTTTCGATGTTACATTAATTAGATGATAGATTGTGTTTTACTCTTAGCATAGTAACGTGTTTTTATCTAGGCAACAAGTATGGAATTAGTTTAATGTACCTTAAGTATAGGTGCCGGCTACCAAAAAACGTAGTATAGGTAAAAACGGCTAAAAGAGCTGCCAACATTTATTCTTGCAGTAGAGTATACTAAAGCATGTTTCCACATTCTGAAAGCCAGATGACAAAATAGTAGTAGGTAGTGAGTGTGAAATTATCGACATTACAGAAAGTATTCATACAGCTCTGAATTTCCAGCCATTCTACCATTCTAGCCATTATGACACGTAATTGATCCTTGTAGCTCACCGTTTATTTGTTTCTTAATTATGTTCTTTAAACGGCGCATTATGTGAGAATTATTAAGTAAAATCATTTATTTCAGTTAATTGAGGTAAGAGTAAGAATTAATTATTATCAAGAATGCAGATGTAGAAAAATAACAAACGGTGGGATATTTCGTGGATAGTGAAAATAATAGGTAACCTACACGTCTACCGGAGGTGTTAATTGAAATAGTACTTCTGCTATAAAATATATTTCTGGTGGATACATTCGGAGGGCAACACAAATTTACCATAATCAACAATAAAAGAAAGGCAACGAATTATACTCTTCATATATTATACATATATACATTTTCCACTTGGTTGCAGAACAATCCAAGCTAAATACGTTTGTTTAACATTAGTTGGTAATGCAGCAAAAGTTAATTAAAACAGCGAGTGGAAATCTGGATTCTTAATTGGTAAAATCATTTGAAAGCTAGTTATGCACTTATGCTCATACACATATTCATATAAAACCTATATTGATTCCTGTTAGTGATAAAAACGTTGCAGTTACAATGTGCAGGAGGAAAAAGTTGAGACTATAGATTTCAAATAGCTCAGGAGACGATAAGCACTGTATATCGCAAAAAAAATTGAGAGAGTAAAGTAGAATGTCATGTTTCCACTTATATACTGGGATAAATCCATATATTCTTGTATTTACTTTATTTCAACGGTGTCCCCAAAAAAATATTTGAGTCTAGTTGGTAGAAAGCTTCCTTGTGAATATTTTATGGTAATCATTTTTACGCTTATGTGTATTGCACTAAAAAGTTTTCTATAAATCTGTAGCAGATTGTCGTAAATAACAATTCGCTCATCCTTTACGAAAATCAAGCATTTCTTAAGGTAATTCAGACACTCGTAAGTTCAATGATCAAAAGCTCCACAAGCACAATCACAAAAAATGAAAATGTTGCTTCTTTAAATACTAAATCTTAAAAAAAAATGTGTCACTAGGTTCAAAATCTGTCCAAAGTTTTAACAGCTAATGCATGGCTGGAACAATGTATATTATGAGACCAAACAATAAGACCTAACCACCGACGCCTTCTAGAAAGTTAAAAACAGTCGGCAAACAATAATCGTTCAACTTGAACATATGTCATGCGCGTAATTATTATTCTTTGTAAATCCCATTTGCAAGCGTATTGATGATTGATTTATGTCAAGTGGTCATACATCCGAACGTTTGATCTATGTATGTGAGAAAATATAATTGGACATGCTGTATCTGTCAAAGATTAATTGTTTCTCTGCTACTGATGTAATTCGGTAGAGATAATGAAAGTTGTCATTACTCTTTAGGTAGAAAAGCTTTCGATATATAAGAAAGAAGTCGTAGTAGTAGTTGATTATAACACAGTGCAGTCGAACTTTAGACAGACACCTTGAAACAGCTTAGCGTAAATCCTTACAAAAAAATGTAGTACATTCATTAGGTCAAACGATTCAAATCCTGAATCTTTTTAATGGAGAAAATCGTTTTAGCTAGCATTTATGTGTCAACAGAAATGCTTACATTAGACTGTTGGGGAAGTATGTACCTGTCAACTTTATAATATCGTTAAGAAACATCATTCCTACGAACCGGTCAAGTAGTGTTCTGATAATATAATAGGTACATATAAGACAATAATCACAAAGTTAAAATTTGTTCTTGGATGAAGCGACAAAATTGACCAACTGCTTGATACACGATACGTGTCTGGTAGAAGAATTATAATTAGATTAAAAAAAATAGACTCACCGAAACCTAGAATGTCTACATTATGTTTTCGTCATGACCGGTGGCGTACATTCTAGAAAGAAATTCAATCAATAAAGGCTAGTGCAGGCATACTTATCATTTTTTCTACAATATTTCCTGAAAATTGCGGGAACAGTTCTAACTTTTATAAAGACCAGTCGTATTTGTCTTATTAGGCGATGCTTAAGCCGTATGCTTAAATGACACACTTTGCCATTGTACTCTATAAGCGCTGTAACGGAACCACCGTTTGACTATCCAAAGACCAATTTATAACTATGTCGATTGGACTATTATTCCAACTTAATTCCGCGATCTCTGTCCACTGACTCGACTGTCTCTTTAGTTACGACTGTCACTAACTGCTTCCGCCTTCTAGTCAGGTATTTATCCAACTATCGACGCATCGAGAAATGTTCTAGGGTTTTCTACGCAGAGTCGTGCTCTTCCATGGAAGTAGTCTAGATGGCGATTGCTACGCGAATGATGCAGAATGCAAGCTCGCTCCATACATGGTCCCATGCCTCTGGGTGCTTCAGTGTCGGCTCTGCCAAGCGACTTTTCGCCACTCAAGGTCCCAGCTATACGAGGGCGTAATGAGAGTAATGACTATATACGATTTAATTAAAGCTAAAGGAGGTTAATAATCGATCTATTCTAAATTTTCTCGTGTGTTATAGGTTGGCACAATCGCCCCGCAATTCCTACACTGGAAGATAAGAAGGAGGGCAGCGTAGGTCCCCCTCCACCTCCGCTGCCCGATTTCCAGGAAAATGAGGGTAGCACCGAGAAAAACGCTGTGGAACCCAACACAAGGAGACAGGATCAACCGCTATCAGCAATCAGTATTCAGGTAACATTCTTAATTTAAAGTACAAAATATAATAGTTGAATGATTTTGGGTTTTGGGATTCAACTTAAGCACATCAGAGGATATGAAGTATCGGACTAAATCTTTACAGCTACAATTCGTTCAAGCAACAGAGGTTATCGAACTCTCGGTTTCCTGAACGACGTAGTCAAATAACCTGTCAGTTGTCCGCTTGTATGTCTGTTGTATAATATTGAACGGGACTAAACCAATACTCAAAAGTCCTTTAGATTCTCGCAGACAAAAAATGGTGGATTTGACGTCACGTACAAAATTACGCGTAACATGTTTAGCAGCATCAAAATAGTATGTGGACTGTGTTGAGTTTTCATATCAAGCAGTCGAACCATTATGGTTATGGTAATGGCAAAACTATGAGTGGGTGACGATCGTCAGAATTCCATCTAGTTGCACACAATGTTTCGAGTTTTTCAAAATACTACAGACTACACCCATTTGTTTGGTTTTCCTTTCGTCTGCTTCCACGACTAGACCTAAGACCTATACCTCACTGATGAGAAGCTAATTCGAATCAGCGCTGACCGTGGTTGGACATGATTACAGGAGATGGAAAGCCAACATGTCCTTTCGAAAAATTATGGATTTGTCAGCAGTGGCGTAGCTACCCTAGGAGACACCCGGTGCGGAAGTTGGTGGTGTCACCCCATCAAAAGTCAAAAACAATAAATTTTATATAATTTATAAGCGTCATGAATCATTTAATATTTAATATATTGAACAAATAAAAAAACAACAAAAACCAACACAGCAAAAGTATTTTTAGCTTACAATTATTATTTTTTCTAGCTTTGACAGCTGCAAACTCAGAAATAACGCCATCAAAATTTATATTTTGTATTGCCTCGTGGTCGATGGCTAATATACCACGATTGCTAAACCGCGATTTGGTCATTGTGCAAATAGTTTTTTATTAATTTTAGTTTACTGAAACTCCTTTCACATGAAGCTAATCATCAGATTTGGAAGAGATTCTGTAAAATCCCATTCTACAATAAACTTCTCAGAGTGTATTCGCAGTCCAAAAGTAATTCTGTTTCCGAGACCTCATCAACAAAATCAGTGAATTTGGATGCAGCTAATTTCAGTTCTTCAGTATTCGCCAAAAGCAAAGTTTTTGTTTGTACGATCACGGACAATGAAACTAGGTCTTGAACAGACTTCGATCTTGTCTGGAGTTCAACTTTGAACAGGTCAAGACATTCCAATGAATCTTTATGGAGTTCTTCTTTCAGTGAGAGTCCTGCATCACTGGCCATCTCATCAACCACCAGTTTTTTACGACGAAGTTGTCTTTCTGTTGGAATATCGTAGTCTTTTGATTCTTTTGTAGCAATATCTATTGCCCCTCCCACAATATGACCCCGTTTTTCTTCGATATAAAGACACTGAGAGCCTCGCTTTAAGCTGTTTATAACCTTTGACATGACTGCCAACTTAACTACAAGGGAGTGGAGAGAATATGCAGGTTGTAGCCAACATCCAATTTGGTCTTCTTATAGAGGTACTACTGCGATTACCTTGCCAAAGTGTCATGAGGTACTTGATGAATCGAAGATATCTCTCCTGGTCCACAGTTTCCTGTTTAGCTAATATTTCGTAATAATAAATCCCTTTGATATCTATCGCTATTATCATCATCACTTCAGATTCGAAACTCAATGTCTGTACTACTGCACTTCTGCACCTTCTCTCCGTCCTCGACCAATTGTTTAGACTGTTTCTTCCGGTGGGCGGTTAAGATAGAAACACGTCTCATCTACGGTAACCGTATGTAAGAGGCTGCTTGTAGTATCGTAAATTGCTTCTGGAGTACTCTGTGAGGAATCCATTTTACATAGGAGCGAATTCTTCTCACTTACTGTGTGCAGTTGTCGATGGGCTTCACCTGCAGAATGTCTTCGAGCAAACAAAACTTGATAATGATCCGTTGGCCATAAAGGACAAAAGATTTTTCAATTATTTATCTTCACGTTGAGCCATTACGAGTAGCGCGTAATAATAAATGAACACAATACACTTGTATGACGCGCACAAAATTTTACAAACATGTATGAATTTGTTACTAAAGGGCGGAGAGTTTGCTCCGAATAATCTTAAACTTCTAGCTCTCCAGATTACCCCTCTTTGTGTTCCATTTAAATATGAAAAAATACGGATCCTTCAAATCTCGAGCCATTCATTTAAAAAGAGGTCGGTTGATTTCTTTAAAATTTCGAGCAAAGGTTTAGTGACCACCAATTGATCCGTTTTTAAGCACTTCGAGAGATTTATTTATGATGACTGCAGAATATAACAAAATATCAAGTCTGTTATAAGCGCTTATGTAAATGTTTTAGAGATTTCCTTCAGAACGAAAGTTCATTTTAATTCAAAAGCCTCATAAAACAGTATACACATTTCAGGCATTTTTATACATTGTAACCCAAACAAAAGTCTTACCTTAGGACTCCATGGCACTTAATATATATGATAGAAAATATGTACTGACATTGCCGCTTGTAATATGTAAAAGGTCATACATTTGTGGTTTTATTTGGTTAGACAGTCACGGAGTCCTATCAGCAGGAAAACTATGCTACAGGTGTGACAGTATCTTACCTTAGGTTTAAGTTTCTGCGTTTTTTTTTTCATTAATAAAATTAGCTTTGTTTTATAGGACCTCAATTCAGTCCAGCTGAAGCGTACCCTAGGAGATAAAACAGTTGCCTCAAAAACGTTCTCTGCGCCCACTAGGAGTATGAGCCTTCAGTGCCTTCAAAGTGAACCTTACTTAGCCCAGAAGACAGACCTGATCGCTGAGCTCAAGATGTCCAGGGATATCGTTGGCATTAAGAAGATGAAAATGGAAAGAGCTAAGACGGAAGAAAGCAAGGAAAAAGAAATCTTTACTGAAATATCCAGACAGTTCACAACTACAAGATTTGTTGATAAGGTGAAGAAGTTTACATAACTCTTTTTCCAACCCGACAAATCCATGATTCACTAGTTCAGATTATATCAAATTTTGATAATATGAAAACACGTACGAATTATTGGTTAGTAAGCTTTGGATTTTCAGAAGGCGACCATGGTAACAAGAACACTTTGCTAGCAAGAATACACTTTTCAATAGGTATCTTTTGGTTGAGGTGTCACACAGCGGGCTAATGTAATAAGTTGAATTATTTCTAGTAGTATTAACTTAGTGTTATCGTGAACGCCCGCAGAGGGGGCTGCCATCGGTAGGCTGGCGCGGCCTTCTAAGAACCCGGTTTGCCCTTAAAATTTGCATATTTAGCATGGTCATTAGTACAACATTGGAGATTATCCAGATTTAGCCCCCCGCTGTTGGGTTCTTATACTTTCGCCAAAATTTGCCTCCTTGGGAACAATTTTTGCGGGCGCTCGTCAGTGTTGAGCATAACCTATTATCGTCAGAACTGCAGAAGTGGGTGACCTTTAATAGAAATAAGAAGAAGTCAAACGATTTTCACTATTTTCAAAATATCGTAAAAATTGCAATATTGCCAATATCTGTTATCTTACCTTTCATAATCTGAACTCGAATCAACTTCGGCATTTGTACTTTTACATCGAAAATGGATGATCGTTCCAGTAAATGTATAGCTGGATCAAGTTTCAGCTTTCTTTGTCACACTTCTTTTTTAGACAAAGCAACACCTTCAGATAGAAAAAGGTATTTAATAAGTCATCATTGGCGTTGATATGCTGAATTTTGTCTAGTTCTATGCTCACGGACAAACATAAAGTCCTTACTCTTGGCTTCCTGAGCCTATTCTTCACACTGAGCAATATGCAAAGTAGTGCCATGCACAGCTAAATGCATTTTTTCGCTGTCTCTGTAGTGAAATTTTTGATTCTTTCAGTACATAGCGTAGTTTGAGTCTTTTAGGGAATATCATTTTTCCCTACAATATCTGAAATCAGCTCACTATAAGCCATATTTATTGTTCGAGGTTAAAACAACCCCAAATGAGTCAATATTGAAACAATAAAAAAATGACGGGGCAGGTAGGGGCACTTTTTTGGGACACTACTAAAAAAAATAATTTTAAAACCTGCATACACCTGAACAGTTTTTAGATTTTTATTATTATTGCCAGTTGTGACATTTCTGTACTTACTCTATAATAGAAGAAAAAACTGAACTGAACATCACAAAAAACCGATAACATAATGAACTACATTACAATGTGGAATAGCTGGTACTTTAAGTGACTTAACTTTAACTGATTATGGTGGGTCTATATTAATAGTTTGTGGATAGTTTTATATAATTTCGATGACGTAAATCACAAAAATACTGCCAAAACTGTATCAAAAATCTAACCTAGGTAGGATTATGCGCTTGTGTGATACGTTGCAGGTACGCAACAATTGTTGGTCTTCTTCCAATTACAACATTGACATAAACTGGGATCTATTCTTGGGCTCAGTTATAAGATCTGGGTCTATTAAGCACTGTACGAGTATCTGTACGTGGCTGAAAAATCATCACTTACAGTCGAAAGTCTTAATGTTATATGTAGGTGTGCATACCAATAATGAAAATATTTTTAGGTGCCAGAGAAAGACAACACAGGAAACTTGATTCCAGCGTGGAAGAGACAGATGCTGGCCAAAAAAGCTGCAGAAAAAGCCAGGAAGGAACTTGAAGAACAGTTGCTACGAGAAGCCGAAGAGAAACGACTGCAGGCCATACCACAATGGAAAAGGCAACTGTTGATGAGGAAGGAAGAGGCGGAAACTAGGATGAGGTAAGTGTAACTTTGCATCATGCGATGAACTTCACTATTGAGCAATAACTGCGCTGTGACAATTTCACACAAAGTGACGAATTCATTATAATCATCGCTCCTCAAAACTAGCGGCCTTCAAAATTTAACTTCCCCCAGAATACACTTTAAATAGCTAACATTTCAGAAAAGTAAGGGGTCAAAAGTTTTGGCACAAAATATTTATCGGATGTTTTTTAATCAAGAAATTTATATAAACACTAGTTATCATGAATAACAACTCAATACTTAACTAAACTATACTATAGAATTATGTGGAGTGGCCCCTTCTGCTCTACCAGACGCAACTTTCTTCGAAGGTCCCTCATGAGGTCCTGGACGGAATTCAGATCAATTTCTCCCAGTTTTTCGTAAATTCGCCGTCTTAATTGTTCTTGATCTTGGGCTTCCCAGTTTTCATGATGAACCTTCCTAGATAGTAAAGCCCAAAAATCCTCTATTGGGTGATCCTGCAGCAAGTTTGAAGGATTATCGTTGTTGGGATCAAAAAATCAAAAGGTATTTTGTGTTGTCGAGGCCAGTCTTGGGTATTTCTTTAGGCCCGTATCGTCAGTCGTCCCTACAATTGTAGGGCGCGTTTATGGCCTCCTTGATTGTCATACTCCTTTCTCTCCTTCAAAAATTTCTGGATTACACTTGTCCCGTGTCAGCGTCAGCGCTCTCCTATTGTGAAGATATGTTTTCTTTTTAAATTGTAGGAAATTTCAGGCTGATAAAACATGATATAACTCAAAAATAAGCACAATTTGATGTAAATAGATGTTTGTGACATAACCTCAAAATAGAGCGCTGACACGGAGAAGTAGAAAACTATGACAATCAAGGAGGCCATAAAGGCGCCCTACAATTGTAGGGACGACTGACGATACGGGCCTTAGTAATGGCATGATGCTAAGTCTGGCCAAAACATGATATGGTCATTAGCATGATGTTCGTGGACAAACTGAAACAACTTTGAAAGGCGGTTATCAATATAGCTCTGACTATTCAAAGCTGCACCCCTCACTCTTCCCACAAAAGGTTGGGATACACCCTTGTTAGAAATCGCGCATCAGACCAGGATTTTATCTGTAAATTTTGCTTTATGTTCGTATCCAACATTGTCAGGGCATTCCTCTTCGTTGTCCGTATAACATCCATCGTTTTCCTTCATTTCAGAGTTACTCAAAGTAAAATACTTTTCGTCATCTAGAATAATGATTATTCTATTAGCAAAATGTACCCGCCTAAGTTGACAGCATCTTGTATACGATGGAGTTCTGAATTGACGAGCTAGTCTCCTTGTTGACATTCCATCTTGATTTTTGCCCTTCTCACCAATCTGTCTGACCTCTGTGCAGTAAATGCACGTGGTCTTCCACTTTTTGGGAGATTCAGACATGATATTCTCTCCTCGCACTTTGATATTATGCAATAAATAGTTTTACGTGAAATGTTTTCATTCTGGAATATTCGTCAGATTTCAGCTTTGGGTACCCGTCCAACCAACTTTTTCTTATTCCTAATTTATATGACATCTTAAAGCGAAAACTTCGCAATAAACAAATGTCAACTGACAGTAAAGTAAGTAAACAGACTTTTGTTTCCAAGGGCAACTTGATATAAGTTTGTGTTTGTTAAAATTAAAGCCAATGAATTTTGTGACAAAACTTTCAGGATATTTGTTAGTACTATAGATGTATGTACTACATCTGTGTCTAGAGAAAAGACAGAGTCATATGATGATTTTATGAACCCAGGACTTCAACATCTGTAACTAGGTGTTCTGTTTTTGCTAACAATATGAAAGATATCTTATATTTAGTACACAGTTAAACTTCAGGAAACATTTTGCATACAAATATAGACCTATCTAAATACTCTTTTCCCTCAAGATTCATTTTCCCTCTTCAGGAGCACCCTTTATACTCCAAAAGTGGTAGATGAACCAAAAGTCGCGAGAATTATCGACGCAACAAAGGAAAATCAACCTACAGCTACCGAGACAGCAAAAGACGATAACAACAATGAAGAAACTGCGCCTGCCAAACAAGAGAGTTCGAGTGAAAGCAATGAGCAGTCAGACGAGGAACCTGTGAACATTATACCTTGGAGGGCTCAGCTGAGGAAAACGAACAGCAAATTAAATCTTTTAGATTAAGAGCTTTAATTCAATTATGTTTATACCATATCAGATAAGGATACCAGAAGCAGACATGCTCTCATGGAATATTATAACGGTTTGTTCATATCATGAAATTCATCATGGAAATTGTGCAAGGGAAGGGATGAAATGAATTTAAATCTTCTGAAACACTGACTCCAGAGTTACACCTCAATCGAAAACGTAAGAGGTATTTTTATGAAATTATTTAAATAATACATTCAGGACTACTCACCCATAATTCAAACTGCACTTTCACCATTTAATGTAATCCTATGCAAGCGTTATAATAATTTATGGGACAAAGGCATCGCGAAACTATTGAAATTGATTTTGCACTACGTATAGAAAATACAAGAAATGTGTCAGTTGCCATTAAGATCCTTTTTTCATATGGCTGTAAACTCCGTGGATGGACCTTATTTAAGTGTACTATACAGCAAGTTCGCAGTGGCGGCTCGTGATTTTACAAATAGGTGACGCAGGATTGACCGACCCCCCTCCATACCATGTAGAGCGCATACACAAAAAAAAACATGAAATAACTCACCTAAATTCAGTAACTCGAAAACAAAGTCAGGATTATCAGGCACTTTTCATTGTTTATATATGAGAGCAATTCGTCGGTCCTTCAAATTAGCAAACTTATTTATAACGTCATCGTAAAATGGCTGTGACACTATCAGTTCATTTAATAATTCTTTTTCGATCGATATTTTTGCCAAGTTCGTCAACCGATCTTCCGACATGGTACTTCGTAGATAACTTTTGATTCGCTTAAGGCATGAAAAACTGCGTTCTGTCGAAACACTTGTTGATGGAATGGTCAGTATTAAACACAAAAGCTTATATGCCTCCTTGAAGATACTGCGATTCTCAAATAGCGATTCCTTTAATAAGCGGGGTTCCATATTTTGATATTGATCATCGCTATAGATCAGCTGCAATTCATTTTTCAGTCTCTGAAAATCTGTGAATGTATTTGAATAAAACTCCTTCAAATTACTTAGGGCTTCTGTTGGAAATTTTTCTGAATATGTTTTGAACTTCGAAGTGTCCATTAACGTCACAAAATGAAGCTTTTCCATATCTTGGAAACGGGTCGTGATTTGCAGAGAAATGGTATCCAAAATTTCAAAATACAGCACTCTATATCTTTCAATAATTTAATCCCGAGACAATGTTACTCTTGTCCTGCCGTCGCGGTGTTCCGTTTGTACACTTGTTTTTGATGCAGCCAATTCGAAAATATTCTTAAATGTTTCTTCATTTCTCTTCTTGTTTAATTGTGTTTGAACACGTTTAATTTGCTTAATGCAAAGGTTTATATCAAAAGATTTTTTTTGCAGTGTGTCGAATAGTATATCTGTCATTCCAAAGATCTCGTTAAAAACAACAACCAAAAGCACGAATTCGAAGTCATGGAATTTATTTAGAAATCCGTCGCTCTGTCTAACCGAGGCTTGATCGGAGGTTGGATCATTAATAATTTCAGTAAACACTTGCTTTAAGGAATCCCACTCCTTATTTATAAAACTGATAACTTTAGAATTTGATGTCCATCGCGTAATAACGGAAACAGGTATTCGACGTCCTATTATTGAGTCTGCTACGTTAGTTCGTTTCGGAGAATGGTGAAAAAATGTCGGTAAACCACTTATAGTTGCAAAAAAAATGCGGCATTTTGTAATACTATTGCAACTTTGTTGTAACACTAGATTCATGCGGTGTGCGAGGCAATGAACAAAAACTGCTTGGGGTGCCTGTTCCTTTATTTTAGCCTGAAGACCATTTAACTGTCCGGACATGACGCTTGCACCATCGAAACATTGTCCAACGAGTTTTGTTTTGTAATCAAAATTTTGTAGACACCTTGTCACGAGGTTAAATAATGCTTCAGATGTTCGGCTGCAGCTTACATCATGAAATCCTAAAAATCTCTCCACAAGTTTTCCTTCAAGATTGACATAACGGATTATTATGCTGCACTGCGATTTGTGGGCAATATCGGTGGAATCATCCACCTGAATGGAAAAAAAACTGCATTCCTTTATTTCATTTTCCACATATTCATCAATGCATTTGACAATGCAGTCAATAATTTCGTTTTGAATGGTTTTAGAATTGCCCGCAAATATTGAGGCAATTTTTTTGTAGTGCTCCTGAATGTCTACAGGGCTTATAGATACAAATGCTTCTAGGAGCTCTTTGAAATTTCCACGGTTAATAGAAGTCGTCTCTTCGTTGTGGCCACGAAACGCCAGTTCTTGTTTGCCCAAAAAAAGGACAGCGCGTATTGGCAATTCCATGAAACGTCTATTAAGTTGCACGTTTTCGTTAAACTGTTTAATATACAGCCTGGAATTTTCGCGTAAAGCATCCTCAATAGTAGTGAGATTTTTCTTCAATTTTGAAAAACCTAGTGCGCAACGCATATGATCCGATGATCCTTCATGTTTACGAAGAGCACGAGTCACATTCCCGAAATCATTGAAACCGTACTTGCTCCACACGGTTGCTTTAACACTTACAATCAAACACGGCACACAAAAAAGTTTATTTAAATAATAGCTACCACATAACCATGCAAACTCACTATACCACGATTTTTTAAAATTTCGACTGTACACTTTGTCCTTAACTTTAGCGGTTTTATTTACATTTAATATCGGAGAAGGTTTTTCGGAGTTAAAAAGTCTTTTTTATCATCATTACTCCATTGAGAAAACGATTTTTCCAACATAACACAAACCGTATCATAGACAGGAAACATTGTTCAAAACAATGAAAACTAACCTCGACACAATACGATATCGGTAGTAATGCAGAGCAGACTAGACGCAAATTCATAATTTGCTTCACTTGCCTCGGCCAAAACGGAAGCGCGCGTGCCGTTGTCATGGCAACCGTCGTATTTGCTCGTATCTGTACTGGACGCAGCAATGCGGTGCAAATAAAGCTGCTTCAGGTCTCTGTTTCAACACGCCAAATTAAGCGCAAACGTAGGCGCGTTGTTGGTTGCGGGGTTTCTCAGTATTCTGTTGATCGCAAATACAAATAAAGAATGTCCGAAAAATAATTTTTTAAGATATAAATGAATTTTTTTTATAAATTTCAAAATAAAAAAAATATATTTTTTTTGAAATTGCAGGTGAAGCAGCGCTTCACCTGCGTCATGGGGCGAGCCGCCATTGAAGTTCGATATCACTAAGAAATAAGTTCAAGGAAAGTTTTACACCACTTAGTAATTACGAGTACATGTACACTTAGTATTAAATATCTCAATCTGCTCCCGAAAGCAGCGCTGATTATTTGTATGTTTACTAAAATTTATCAATTTCTAGTAGTAAAGCTGTATGATTATCTTTTATTGATTATGACAGTGATATTTTATTTTAGTGTTCAGTATTGATATTCCTTTTCGTAGATAATATATAAGATGTATGCAATAGTAAAGGTGCTCAATATTTTATGATAGTGCATTTTTATATTCTTTTATTGTATAAAGTGTACATTCTTTGTCATGTTAAAACTATAGTCTATTTAAATACAGGGTGTCCCAAAAGTGATTGATCGAACAATACGGGGTGATATTGAGGTCATTTCTAATCAGTAAAACCATAGATGTCCATACGCGATTGTTCACAGTTTTTGAGTTAACGCCATTTTGAAGAATTTCTAGAAAACCGCTACTTTTGAGGCTGCACCTTTCTTCCCGAAATTGTCTTGTTATTTCTCAATTCACTATGGTTATATGGGTTTCGATATTCTTCAGCAGAAAATTGAGCATTCCCCTAGCACAATTCATAAATAGAGTGCGCTTCTGAGTATTCTTGTGACGAGTACGGCGTCTTGCAATCGCAATAATATAATCACACAAGTGTAATGACTGACATTATCCCTGCAACCCATTTATAGTATTGACGTTTATTATCCTATACATATTTCATTACCGTACTTGCAGTACAAAAGGCAAAATTACGCTTAATCCGATTGTGCTATACTTAAATTAACTGGATTATTTCCTCAACGATCACTTGATAGCATATTCTGCAAAGCTGATTGATACGAGTAAATAACAAAAGATAATTTTAGAAAATAGATTACAGGCTCAGAAGTAGCGATTTTCTACAAATTCCTCAAATTAGCGATAATTCAAAGTCAGTGCGCTGTCGGATCAGAATAACTGTACATGTTTTTTTATTGAATATAAGCCCCTAACACCTGCGTTGATTTGACCGATGACTTTTGGAACACCTAGAATATTATATACAGGGTATTCTAGAAATAACACACCAGAGTGACACGGGAGGTAGATTGGCTTCAGATCAATCAGATAAAATCAACATAACCTTAGTAAAAGTTTTCTAGTTTTCGAGATACTGCTACTTTTGAGTTTTTCCAAAAAATCCTTAATGTTTGCTTCTTTTTGTCTGTAATGGCTATAAAAAAATTCTAACCTATGATTTTTTCCTGGGCTACCATTAATACTTGGTTGAGACAACCAAGTATTTTTTTCATTGAAAACTAGCATGGTATGATGAAAAAAAACTAAATTATTACATTTGGTTTCAATGAAAAAACCTTGACTACGATTTTACTAATTACCGTGAAAAAATGTACCAGACTGAATTTGCAAATGACCTTAAAAATTAGCTATTGGATGCTCTTTTATAAATAGTATAATAATCTATCTATAATAAACAACAGGCAAAAAAGGAACAAAAAGTATGGATTTTTTGAAAAAACTTAAGAGTGGAAATATGTCGAAAACTAGAAAACTTTTACTAAGGTCATGTTGATTTTATCTGATTGGTCTGAAGCCAATCTACCTCCCGTGTCACTCTGCCGTGTTATTTCTGAGTCACCCTGTATATATAGTTTATACGCTACTATAAGTAAATCACAGAATATTAGCACAATTCGAAAGATTCCGTTATTAACGTCAGCATTCATATTATACCCGGTATACTAAAGTGGATTTCGAATTAAAATGATGTTTGCAGTAGTGTTAGTGCTCGTGTCATCACGTGAATATTTTGTTATGCTCCTTATCCTCGGCAAAAAAGCTTTTAGGTTTTGGTTTTATAGAATTTCAACTATTTACCATACTAATGTAATATTTGTAATAAAGCTATTCCCATATTTAGCGTTTTTCTATGCAATATACATTCAAAACTCAGACCTCCTTCTTTGTTGAAAATGTGATAGCACAAGTGGCATAAGGAAAATGGAGTAATTCATGTACGAATTGAGATAAGTTCTTGAATAATATATATATATATATATATATATATATATATATATATATATATATATATATATAGTTCTGAGTATTGAGAGTCGAGTAAACATTCTTCAGTATTGTGCGTTCACAAAGCTGCTTAAGTACGATAAAATGATTTCGTTCAAAAAACTGTAAATTTTCCCCAGAATTTTTACCCACTTCTCAAATTTATTTTCTTGCTTCCTCCTCTATCAAGCGGGAATCTCCAGAAAAAAGGCACAAAGCTCATCATCTCATGAATTTTATTTTTTTTAGAACGTTTTTACGACTGGAACACGCGTATTGTAAGAAAATATATCAAATAAAATCGTACACATCAACATACACTCTATAGATAAAAACATCTTTATTTTGTACCAATATACATGTGTTTGTATAGGATCTATGTAAGAGAATATTCTCTGCACAACAAATGCATAAGATATTGCTTCATTTTTTAAGGCGATAAAAGAATTCTAACAATTCAATGACATAAGATACACTGAAGTAGTTAAAATTTTAAATCATTTGATCTACAACTAAGCACCTATTTTTTATTGCAGAGAGCGAAAAATTGAACAAATTAAATATCTTTGTAAGCATTGTAACTCTGTAACTGTAAGTTTTTACCACCTTCAAAAGACCGAAACAGAAGCAGTTATCTTTATCACAAGCCAGCTTAAAAAATAGTACTGATGATTTTCCACACCCAATAATATAAAATATCTATAATTTGAACCTAAAGTCGTAAAGAAATAACATATTTAGATAACTTTTGCTGGAGAATCGAAACAGAAATTTCAATTCCAGTTACAAAAATATTGATATCAAAATACTTAATCGAATACTACAACCATTTCCTATGCTAATATGTATCACAGTATTAAAGCTAAACGTTTTACACAAAACATTCCAGAACGGATTTAGGTACCAAAATACCTACGTATGAAAATGTTTTCAATTGTTACCACCAAACCTTTTTCGAAATAGTGATTTGGAGTATCAAAAATAATATAACATTTAGATATGGAAAGATAACATCAATTTTAGTGATGTAGTATGTTATTATTCATTCTTTATCCAAAATAGACCTATCTATTTGTAGCATTTCCTGATTGTCTTTTGAGAGCTTCATTTCAAGCTTTATTTACACGTTGTTAGGAACAATATGACATCATGGGTAGTAGTGACACAATAAAATCAATATTGCGTCTTTTGGAGGCGTTATCGAAACATACAGTGGGTCAAAAAAAGTATTGGCGCACCCTTCTTCTTTCTTGAATTCCAGTAAGAAAAGGATGGATTTTTGATCTAAATTTATTTTAAAACATCGAAATTGTCTTATATAGTCTAGTCATATTAGCAAATTTCCCAGAAATAATTGTTAAGTCTGGTTTTATTGATGCCAATTGTTCAAGGCGATATTTAAAATATGGATACACAAAATGGGTACACCAATTTTTCTAGGAATACTTTTTATTCGACAACAACAACAATATTTTTTGGGATTCAATCAATGGTCAGGAACCAAAAAACTCTTTAAATAAGATTTTTAGGTACTTGTGAGATCTACAGAACGAGACTACACCTAAAAAGATCCGACTAATAGTAAAAAAGTTATGGCAAAAAACCGAGGCAAGATGCAGGTTATCTGTAGGCTTCATATTTACAAATAACCACCACAAAATTGGAGGTAGGTAGTTTTTGAGAATTTCTACTTGTTTATTCCAAAACACCTGTTTTCTGTACATCACTACTAGTTTACTGAGCAATATACAGAGTTCGTCCAAAGGGCATTTTATAGTCGAAATACTTGCCGAGTCACAAACCATTCCGAAATATAAATGTTATTTTTATGCGAAAAACGAAGGGGATAAGCAATTAGCAATTCTCAAAAACTACTTCACCAATCGACTCTAATTTGGTTGTCGTTATTTAGAATGATGCCTAAGAAGTTGAAGAACTTCAAGTATATGGGTGAAATTATCGTCGCATTTCCAACAAGTGTTAAAACCTGCATCTTGGCTCGGTTTTCAGCCAAAGCTTTATTACTATTAGTCGGACCTTTTTACGTGTGATCTCATTCTGTGGATTCCATAAACACCTAAAAATCTTATTTAAAGAGTTGTTCCGTTCCTGCCATCACTTTAGATTGAATCCCAAAAAACACTCATTCCTTGTTGTCGAAGAAAAAGTTTTCCCACAAAAATTGGTGTACCCATTTTAATACCCCCTTGAACAACTTGCATCAATAAAACCACACTTTGCAATTATTTAGTAAACCAAGGGTATTTTTGTCCAATGTGATTAGACTATTATGAGTTTGCAAGTTACGGCGCATTCATTATGCCAACAGTGAAACATGGTCGCGCGAACGCTTCAGTTAGAGGCTGGAATGATGTTGGAAAGCTAATCTTCATCGAAAGCATTATGAATGCAAACAACTATATTGACATTTGTAAACAAGTATAAAAAATGGTAAAAAGATGGGGATCAGCGAAATATTCATCTTTCAGCGGACCGCTAGCAAAACAAAGGAATTGCAATTTTCCTGCCTAAGGCTCGAAGAAATAAATTTTCTGCGAAACGACAGCTAGATGTTCTTTGCACAAATGGTAGCAAATTGGACCAGAAATATATATATATAATGGTATGATAACATAGTAATAGCGTTAATAAATTTTGTTAAAACGTATTTATTAGTTTGTTTGTTTTTTTAGTGTTCCTTTTTAACAGATTGTATTTTTTGGTAATGAAGCAATTAATTTTATAGATTTGCGCATTCAACTTTTTTAAAACTTTAACGCGGTCCAAAAACAGTGCACATACATCATAATTTAAAAGTTACAATGTGCAAGTGGAAATCAAAAAATTGTGATGATAGCATATCTACTATACCAGAATTGAGTAGCAGTAAAACTTCAGAGCCTTCATGTATGTTAAGAATTAACCTTTTTTTTTTTTAATTTCAACATCCGGTTAAATTGACGGGCTGCAAAAGAACCCACGTTTAGCTTTACGTTGCTGAAAACCGAATAGGACACACACACTATCGACGTGCGTTGATTCAACACGTTTGTACCCGGTATTAGTATGCTAGAAAACAGCTAGGTACAATGTTTGGATACAGTTACTAATGAAGGTCACCATTATTACCTAATCACAAAGCTGTAAGCTCCAAGCCCAGGTTTGCGGAAAACTAATTAGCACCTAAGATGGAAGGGATTAGATACCCCAAATATTCGTATTTCGAGGGAGGCGAGTTATTAAATCTACTATTGTTAGATTGCTGCATTCACTTTCACCATGGCCGCCACATTGGTGGCTCAGACTTTTCTTCGTTTGTAGGATTTTTGGTGGAATTGGTGGGATACTGTTCCTGAATACGCCTGGAAAGAAAGTCCAGCTCTTTAACACAGGCTCCCAGGTGCTGCATTAACTTCTTTCCGGCCGTGGCGTCTACCCGTTGAGATGGCTCAGTTATGAAATGGGTGACCTGGAACAGAAATAACAATGTAACAATAATACGCCTTCATGGCATGCTTTCATTCTGAATGCAGATTACACGAAGACTGCCATTTAATGCTTTTGGGCGAACACGATAAGCTCATATTGAAATAAAATCGTGTATTATTCACATATTTGGCAGTACCTACTCGCCAAATAGCTTAGCTCTCAATGTCTAGCTGAACAATCTATCAGTACAGATTCATATGTAGTATTAGTATAAAATGAAGCTCATGTCAACCTTAGCTTCAAGATGTTATTTCTCAATGGAATATCTTTTCATTTGATATGGGTTTCAGCGGGTATAAATACTTAACGAATGTCAGAAGGTATTCTAGATACATTTATATAATTTCTCAAATCCACTAGAGTAATTTTTCAGAGAACGGTATTATTCACACACAAGGGCGTCCCAGGGGCGAGGGGCAAGAGGCGGTGGCTAACCCCTTTTCCCTAGCTATAAAAAACGGAGAGAATATTTTTTACAAAAATTAAATGACTCGTAGAGGGTTTTCCACAAGTAGAATCTATATCTATCGGATGAGAAATTACTAGGATTAGTTGAAATCTATGATAGATATAAAATTAATTTTGCTAAAAGCACTATATATGTTATAGTACGTGTGTCTCAAATTCGAACCTCGCTTTTGGGATCTCGGAAACGGTGAAATGAATGTCCCGCGATCGATATTTACTATGGTCCGTACGGTCAGTGGATTTTTGCGTAACATTAAGCATCAATAATTATAACTGACGTCCAGGTTACATGGTCAATACACCTCACAGCTCATGATGAATATACGATGCGGAGTATTTTATGGGGATAAATTAAAAATGGAACTTTGAGATTGTGAAAGTTTAAAGTATTTCCGAATTGATTCCAAGTTTTTATTTTTCCTAGCTGTAGTCCGAAACAAAACTTTTCAAACATTCACAATGTCGACAAATTTCAGACAAACTACACAATAATATTACCACATGTTTTCATCTAAACGCTGGTATGATAAGAATTGCGATCTGATGTTTCAGCTCTCAGTTTTTTAAAATCACACTGTTATCGATTTTCATCTCGATTACGCTTGAATAATATGAATGATACATTATGTTTTTCCTCATTCGATGAGTTTAAGCCCGCTATATGAATTTTTATATCAATACGTAACATGTTATCATCTTTGATATTCCATGAAATAAATGACTATATGATAATTTTGAGGCGTATTCAAGAAATTTGTTTTTACAGTCGCCTTTGTAAAAATGGTATACATAACGGAGATCAAAGTTGAGACGCGGGATAAGAGACGAAATCATATTAATGTTCTATTTATGCCATCTTGCAGACATCAAAAAGTGGCAATATCAATTTTTTTTATAAATCTCAAATAAATTCAGGAAAAATTAGAAATGATTTTGGGAAAATTCGTTCCCCTTTCCGTGTTTCTCTGGAGATACTGGAAGCGCCACAACTTTCCAAATGCATTATCTAAATTCTAAATTATATCTCTTACCGTTTCGGAGATCACAATGGTGATAATATGACAAATTTGTTTTTCAAATCATTTTACATATTTGTTAAAGCTACTCCACTCAAAAACAACGAACAAATATCAACAAACAGAAATTATTTCCGGAATTAGTCTAATATGCCATATCCAAACTTCTCACTTCGAAGTGGCATATAAGAATTTACTAGATGATGTACGGTGTTCCATTTGTGTTGTCATGTCGGCATAAGTCACCCTGTAGGGAGCGATATATTCCAAGTAGGAAGCGTATTCCACAATTTTTGTTAATAGCATTTTTTTATGTCTTATAGTAGGAGATATTGTCCAATGAGATACAAAAAACTAACCCTGTATGTCTAATTTGTTGCAGCAGTTATGACGCGGGATAGCTTGGGCATTTTTTGAAGATTTTTTTCGATGTTAACCACTACAAAAGCTTTACCTTTTAGCTACTACTTCATATCTACTCTTATGCACTTTTGGGCAAAAAATGAACGATTTTTTGCAATAACCAATTAACTGTTGCAATGAACTGGAAAGACCCATTTTAAAGCTGTTTTTATCCCTTTCCCAGCTCTTCTATAGACTTGTAACTTTGAAGTTTGATATAGAAGTTACAAAGAATTTTCATTCCGAGATGCATTCAATGTAAAGAATACGGGCCCCTTCCCACTTCAGTTGGCCAACTATTGAAATCTTAGTTTTTTTCTTATCAAACACAAATAATATAAATGTAGCAGGGTGTTATAGGTTTAAAATATTAACAATGAATATTTTGATAATATATAGTAGAAAACACCAACTTTATCACTCCCTAATTAAATTTGTAGCATATATTTTTATGCTCTCTTGCTCTTTTTGTGTATTGTGCTGGCCCAACTATTGAAATCCTAGTTTTTTTTCTTATCAAACACAAATAATAAAAATGTAGCAGGGTGCTATAGATTTAAAATATTAACAACGAATATTTTGATAATATATAGTAGAAAAGATCAACTTTATCACTCCCTAATCAAATTTGCAGCATAAAAATAACACATGTTGCAATTACAGCATATCAACCTATTTTCATATAAATGCAAAATAAGTCTATGACGCACAGGTGGCTGTGAAAAAGAAAAGCCATGGCAATTTTTTTTATTAATCACAGCTGTCAGAATACGTTTAAAATAGTTTTGGGTAGTTAAGGTTTTCAAAATGGGTAGAGGAAAGGTTATTAGTGAGAAAATTCGGTTACTGATAATTAATGTTTTTAATTCTGGGAAATCAAACTCAGAAATTGCAACTTTGTTAGTCTTATCGCAGTACAGTGTGAGAAATATTGTTAGAAGATATAACGTAACTGGTTCAGTTAATATTAAGCCGCGATATGTGAAAGAAAGTAATATCACAAATGCCGACCGAAGAGCATTAAGAAGAATAATCGTGAAAAACGCCAATTGTTTACAATTAAGTGCTCTGTGGAGTGACGCTGTTGGAAGGAGAATTTCCACACTCATAGAGAGGGCCACAAACTGGGATTTAGCACTTGCAAGGTAAGTTTTCTTATAAAAAAAAGTGAAGTAAAAACCCTAAAGTTGCACAACTTGTTTATAGGTCAAAGAAAAGCCACTATTAACTCCCCTGCAAAAGAAAAATCGGCTTAGATAGTCTAAAGAACATAGACAATCGACACCTCAACAATGGTGTGCAATACAATGGAGTGATGAGGCCCTATTCGAAGTTTGTGTTGGTGACAGTCGCAGTAGAGTTATTCGCAAAACAAATGAAGCATTCCATGTTGACTGTCTAAAGAGAAAAGTGAAATTTCCAGCATCCATTATGGTCTGGGGCAGTATGTCATCAAAAGGAGTAGGAAAACTTCATTTTATTGATGGAAATGTGGATACAAACAAATATTTGGCAATTTTAGAAGAATCGCTTTTACCAGTGATGGAAGAATGTTTGACATCCGGCCAAGATTTTGTGTTTCAGCAAGATGGTTCAACGTGCCATACCTCAAAAAAGTCTATAAAATGGATGGAAGAAAATAATGTACCACTTTTGAAATGGGTTTCTAGCAGTCCAGATCTGTCACCTATTGAAACTTTGTGGCACGAGATGAAAAAGGTTCTACGACAACATCCTGCTCGTACAATCACCAAACTGAGACAAAAGCTTCAAGAAATATGGGATTGTTTTACATCAAATTCTTGCCTAAGCTTGGTTAACACTATGCCCCAAAGAATTTCAGCCGCAATAAAAAATAAAGGTCATGTTACCCAATGGTATTCTTTCAATTGTTGCTTTGTTAACTTCGCGCATTTATTCGCACATTGTTAAATTGTTCAGATGTTCTATTAGTTATAGGTCTAAGTGATTTCAAATATGTATTTTTTACGACTAGAGTGTATCTAAAATGTTTTTGAGAAAATAAATAGTTTTGTCATGTTTAGTTTATAAAGGCATATTTTGGTACAAATCTTGAAGCGGACCAACTGAAGTGGGAAGGGGCTCGTATATAAATCCTTCTGTACAACTTCTTCTACAACAGGGTTCATATTTGGCTTGCTTGAATGTTTTAAAATGTAATCCTAGTAGTTTTCCATATCCTTATAAATTGTCAAATCGTCGTGGAAGAATCTATGTAAATGAGATGCAAATACAATAGAAAGAAAAATATCAAGCTTAGTTATGTAGATATGATTTGTGAAACTTCCACCAAAAAATGTTTTGAATGTGCCCTCCCTTTCCATTTTGAGCTGGGTTCGCCCTTGTTTACACAAATCCTTCTTTACTATCAGGTAGTATTTTTTGCTATGCTATTATCGCAGTTAGCCTTTATTCAAAACGTGGATAAATTATTGACACATAATTTTTATTTACCTCCTGAGCGCATTGGTTGAATCCGGCTCTAAAACGATCTGCATAGCTGGTTTCCTGTGGTAGTACGAGTTGATGTTGTTGCTTTAAAGTGTGAAGGTGACGTACAGTCAATTCTAAAATATCGGCCTTTTCGAGTTTGGAGACGTTTTCACCATCATTTTGCAAAGCCGATACCATTAGTTCTTTGAGCTCGTCTAAACATCTGAAAAGATAATGCAACTACAATCATGAACGTGACATACATTATGAATAATATCGATAACACTGTTGCACTTAAAAAAATCTCAATATGCTCAACTAAGAAGTTGTTAAGCGTCAAAGAAGATTATGGGATTATTATAATTGAAGTGGTATGCAATTTGTTTTCAAGTGAGAATATGCTTGTTTGATTTGCTGTTTAAATCAAAGTATGATTTCTTAATAATACTGATATTGGTATTGATTGTTTATAAGGTATAATAATTTTAATGATGTTTCAGAGATACTATTTCAAGACCAATAAACATTGAATCGACAATTTCCCAAAACGCAACGAAGTCACTTCTTGAAATGTTCTCGTTTCTTGATTATCCTAAATAATTCCAATTTTTAGGTAATAGAGAAATTTTCTTGATAGTGAGCTTACGAGCGTCTTGCCTGGAGAGTATATGGCTAGTGCCACTCCGTGATGAAAAATGTACAATAAACCTTGAGGCTAAATACTGTTTTTAAGTGTTCGTAGATATTAAGCCACATAAACGTGTAATTTTGTGAAATCCTAGAAAAGAGCCAAAATCGTGCAACAAGCTAAATACAATACTAAAGCTCAACTCATTTGTTTTGTTATTTTTCTCATTAGTTTTGTATATACTTCATATATAACTAGTGTTATGGAAAGATGGAGTAGAAGTTATAAACAATAAACTTATTTTACTGAATGGTTTTAATTTGCAGTGCATCGTGGCTCTTCTGACTTTATGGAAAAAGTTAGCAAAAGTGTGATTTAAATTCACTGACAAAACTTCCTCAACTTCAGCTTCAGGTAAGATGCAAAAGAAATAATGGCTAATATGTAATTAAATGAATGAATAATTTTATATTTTATGGCTTCTGTTAATTTCAGTGAGATTCTGCCTGCTTTAATATTTTGTGTTATTGAGAAGATGTAATTGTTATATAGCTTCCTATGACACATCATAATAAGGACTAGAAGTGGAAGACGTTTTTTGAATGGTTTCTAAATTCGTCTACGAACTCGTCACAAAAGCCACATTGCATCGCAGAATCGAACAATTCAGTAAGCTAAAATTATTTTATTTACGTGTAAGCCATCTTTCCATAATTGGAAAACTGTATAGGAAGAACTGGTAGATTCTGTTTTTTAAATGGTACTACTTGTATATGTGGCTCAATGTATTTTGAACGGAGTATACTTCCACTCCTCAAAAGGTTTGTATTGACCGTTTCCAACATATCATTATATTTATTAATCCCAGATTGCAGAAAAGGTGTTTAACGTGTGTTTCTGTCCGTAACATCAAAAATATCAACAGAAGAAATCATTTTGATTAATATTGTTTCTGTAAAGGATTCGAGGGCTCAGATGATGTACTGTGTTGAGAATATTTTCAGTTATGAAACAAAAACGTTTGACATCGGAGGTCTTTTAGACTTTTTTGTACTTTCTTTGCATGGATATTGAATGTTTATTATCGTTTTTATATTTGCTGAACCCTTAACAAAATCTAGAACGGACATAAGACATACACAGCATTGCTCCAAGAAAATTACACGAAAGATTTCTTTGACGAACCTTGTATATAGTGCAATATCTTGTAACTGGTCTCCTGAAGTTTTTTCAAAAATAGCGGTAGCGTAGACAGTATAAGAATTAATAATGTAAAATCATTGAAAAAATACGTGGAATATTCTTTTCCAAATTCTGAGAACACTTTGTATCGTGTACAGGCTTCCAGATTTATTCTTGCTTCAATGTTCTTTGCAAATTTCCTTTTTAAACAAGAAAACAAAGGTGTGCTAAACACGGCAACGTTCAGATAATGAACCATAGACTGAGAGTATCACTGCATATGCATCATTATTAATTGTTTAAGTGGATTGAAATTTGCGTAAAAATATATCTCAACTTCGGTTATTTATAACAATAAAGTCTATCTAAGAGTACTGAAAGTCACGATTAATAAAATATCTGATAGAAATATTATAGATTATTAATACGGTATTTACATCCTGAAGGTTTTCATCTTGTTGGGCGTATTGATTGTTTATAGTGAGTAGACACTTTGTGCAAGAATTAATTTGTAAATCATTGGTAATTAATAAAACTACTTACCTGTTAATCCTAGCTCTCCTCTTCCTCTCCAGCATCGGTTTCATGACCTTTCTGTACTGATAGGTCCTGGACATGGGCTCGGCGCCCCCGTACTCTGCATACTGGTGCGTCGCGGCGCCCATTCTCATGCCGTCTTAATTTCTGACGCGCTCTGCCTAAGCAGTACTATTCTTCGACGCACGGCACCCACTGTATACTAGAGCAGCGCGCGTCGCTCTGACGGGAGCGCTTTTTGGTTCTGTGACTGTGCCCAACGCGCGCGGTTACGGCACTACTGTCATAAGTGGTGGGGGCAATGTTGCCGCACTACTGGTAATTTTTTCCGGATTCGAAACTATTGTACTTGTACCGTAAACAGCTGTGATAATAAATATGATGTCAAGCAGGTTAACTCCGCACTTGTCACACAACGCTGTCATCACTTCATGAAAGATTGTACAGGTGTTACTTAATGATGACACAGTATTTGATGAAAACATTGACAAATTACAGTTTAAATATAAAAATACATTCCCACAAATCTGCCGAGACCATACAGATATACTACATAACTGCACTTGTGCTAACTCGACTCGTACATAAGCGACTGTATAGAAATGCAAACATTCTTACAAACAAATTTGCTCCGTGTATACATTTTCATTACGTTTAGTATTCTTAATTGAAACATATGAGCCAGAACGGCAGAAAAGGAGCGACTTCAATTTTGCAAAATATTCATTTGAATATAACATGGGTCAACTTTCAGACAAATCAGCGTGGCAGGTAAGAAAAATTGGTTCTCTTATGTTTTCGTTGTTTCCCTTACATGTGCAAAGACGCTATGGAATAAAGTAAAAACTGAGAGAAAGTTCAGTACTACTAGGTTCACAGATCATTTCAGAACTGTCACCACTACCAGTAAAACTTCTCATTACAAAATCTTAAAACAGACGTGAAAATCCCACTACCAGTTTTCACAAAGGCCGCATTTGGTTCTATTATTGCTTTCTCCTTCGCAATAAATGATCCCTCCTCTGGATATTCAAAATAACTAGCATTAACATTTGTCTGTTCACGGATGACATCAATCAGCCTTTCAGATCCTTTTTCTAAATCTTTCGTAACAAAAAACACTTTAAACCCACATTTTTTGTACACTTTTTCAGCGACGTCCATCAAATCAACCCTGTGATGCAATCTTAGCGTGCACCGTCTCAGATCTAAATCTATCATAAAGGACACTACTCCTTTTATCCTCACAAGCACTTTCTCTAAGATAGTTACGTTGTCTTGATTTAAACCTTCAAACTGGAGCAAATACAGGCATGTTCCTTGTTTGAGCTTCTTCTGTCGGCTTCTCGTATTGTAGCAAGGACCTGCAGAGTCTCTTAGTACTTCAGTTATATGCTTTGCCCTCTTGTACAATTTAGCGTTTGTAGCTCTAGTTCTGATAGCCAAGTTCTCAACTGCTTCGTAAACTCCGAAGATGGCCAATAAAAATGCATGTGTCTTTCTATTTCCAACGAAGTTTTCCAGAACATCCAAGCATAGGCTTAAAACTGTTTCATTGTCATTGTCTAATAATGTTGCAGCATACAGAATTGCCTTTTTATCCTGGATCAGTTGTGTGTGGTTCTTTGTGTCGCTACTGATTGCCTTGAATGCATCCAAATCTTCCAGAACCCTTTTTGACATGTCGACATGCATTTCATCATCCACTGTCAAGTTGTCAAGTTCAGTCTTTTTCTAATTATCAGTTTCCTCAGTTTCAGTAACAACCAGCTGCTGTACAGTTTATATCCCACATACTCTACAATTCATATCTACTACGAAAGTAGTAGTCTTTCTTGTCATGGCGCATTTGACTTATGTATACAAACAAGTACATACTTAAAAAAATCTTAGGTATTAATTCGAAACTTAAATATTTTAGAAGTGATAATGTCTTTACCCTGAGCGTGAGAAATTTACTAAAAGTTTAAGTAGGCGTTTGCTGATATTCAAGAATGGAAACTTATAAGGTTGCTGTATAATATATGGGTAGTTGAGCCTGTTATTCAATACCATCAGATAGTGTGCTCGTTTTAGTTCACGATACTTCATTTCATTCACTAAAATATCACTTATAGGTGGTTTGAAAAGTTCCTGGATTGGCATATGGAGATATTGGTATCTGAAAACATATTGCTTTGCTAGAAAATAGTTTCCTTTTTGAAGCAGTTTGAAGGTACGTCTTTCGTATTGTCTTAGAAAATCGGAAAATTTCAAAGGTATGCAGTGGCTAGATACTTGCATAGAAGAACGGAGATGAAATTCATACTGACATTATGACGATGTGTAGATGTATTATGAGGTGATGCTTCTTCAAGATCAACAATAATCAATGCATATATTTAGATCATAAACGAATGACTATGTATTAGATTGTGTACATTCCCAGCGTTCTACAGTTTTGGTTCAAAAACGAATTCAAGTGAGACTCTCCCAACAAATCTGGATCAATTTGCAATGGATGAAATTGATTTTATTCATCAATTTACGATTATGGACGACGCATGGATTTACCGCAGAGTGGACTGATCCCGGTTCTTTTGATCCGAAGTAAGCAAAATTTACGAAATCATTTGAAAAGATTTTAACATTTTCTGAGTTGTTGAAACGCAAAATAGATTATGATGATAGGTTACCTGCAGACTGGTACAACTGTAACAGTAGAATATTGCTTTTTTAATGATTTGGCTGAGAAAATTCGACAAAATACGTCAGGTAAGGAAAAAATTAAATAGAAAATTGATGGACAAAATACATTGAAAAGCGGCAGCAGTGGTGGCGTAGTGGTAGATGCGAGAATTTTTCTCTTAGCTATGGATGCTGTGATTGTTCGTAGGTGGTAGACGGTCTCAAATAGCCTCACGGTACCCATGGGTGGTCATGCCTTGAGCCCTCGTGGCGGTTCAAGTATAAAAAATGAACCAGGGAGACGATCATGAAGAATGAGCGTGTCATCAGAGGTAACTAATCTTTCTTCATGTACAGAAAATGTTCAAATCACCAAATTTAATAAGAAGGGAAGTCTTTCTTATGCTTTACTGAAGGATTCAAACCTTCTTATTCCCTGAGCGATGGGTGCATTCAGAAAAGCACCGCATTAAATGTTTCATGCCAATAGCCATTGAAATTAAATTAAAAGATATTCTAGAAACTTTGCAGCACTATTACACTACTTTCATCCCCATTTGTAGCAAATAAATTCGTCATCATAATTTGTTTGTAATAGAGGTACAGCAGAACTAACAAAATATCCCTTAAAAGGGAAAATGATGAAAATTAAATTCAGAAATTACGAGGAGATCAAAAACCTCATCCCAGCTTATGTTGTATGCTGTTACTATGTATGCGAATACTGACGATGTTTTGTTAATGTAAATTTTGGTAGCCAGTAGCTCTCTGCCGCCCAGCAAATATGGACGCAGTTGACAAATTTAATGTTCTGGAAAGGCCTTATTTACTGAAGTAAGTGTTGTTAAATGGTACAAAAGACAGCATGTAAATCCTTCCGAATGTTATTATTGATGATTGCTGTCGGTCATATCGCAGAGTAGGCTGTTCTCGTAAACAACAGTTATCAATTTATAAACGGAAATGGTAATACTGAATAAGTAATAAAGTATCGGACCTGAGGACGTCGTGTATACTCTGACATGTTGGTGGCTGCCAGTGTAAACACCCTAAATGGAAAACATTTATTTGGACCAATTTATTCGACATAGTCAGCGAATTCGGACTTGGTAGAAGGAGCAAATATACCAATTGTTTGCAACCAAATCTACAAGATCAGTAGCCTAGATGCAAGTTCATACTACAAGTCGATTAAATTTGTACTTTTCTTCGAAAACATAAAAGTGCGTGAGTTCCATACAATTTTAGTATGCCAAACAGTAGCCGAATATGAAGGTTTCTTTGGATCGCAAGACGCCTGTTACCTTAACATTAGGTTTTTACCTAGACACTTATGACGTGACTCAGTTCCAATCTAGCCTTTATTAAAGAACTATATACCTAACAAGAACAAAATATGCAAAATATTGGCGACAAACCAAATTTTTTGACGGATATTGGAAAGCGGCAAGCAAATTTTTAACTCAACTTGACTAAAGTTGAACTATATCTAGTCTAATCTTGAATCTCAGGGTTCTTAGGAAAGGTAAGTCATTTTACGATCCTATTTTGGTGCCACGAGATTCAATGAAACTCATTAAAATGCTTCCAATATTTATTGGATAAATATAGTAACAATAATATAATAGTAGAAATGTCCATATTATGCTCAACTAGGTATTTGCATTTAGACTAGAATCGGGATCAGGACAACTATTTAGAGATACCGAGTATAAATTTAACTATATCTAGTTTAATTTTGAATCTCAAATTTCTTAGAAAAGGCAATTTTGCGTTATAAGTAGTCATATTACGATCCTATTTTAGTGCCACGAGTTTGAATGAAGCACGCTTAGTAGTACACAAAAAAATCAATGTAAAACTCATTGAAATACTAAATATAGTGACAATAATGTAATCGCAGGAATTTCCACATTTTGATCAACCAGATATTTATTTGCTTTTAGCTCAGAGTCTACTCGGATTTTTATAAAAACTGGGTAGAATGCATACAAGTTCGAATATTAGATATTTCCCCATTGTTGCTGTTTGATGGAGAGAACGTTTCGTATTGTTCACCTTCCAAAATCACAAATTAAGTAGACTTATTCATATGCTGTTTCGTTAATAAACATTATTTCTTTACAAAATTTAATTTATCAACCATAATTGAGAAATTCACATCGCAAAACAGTATTTCTGCCTTGTTCTACGTGAGTACAACTAGTACGAATAGCTACTTGAATCTCCTTTCCAGAGAAACGAATGTACGCCGATGTATTGATTTATACCTTGGGTAGGCAGATTAGTCAAAATTTTGTACTAAAACTGCATAATATTGCCGACAAATAATGCTATGTAGAATAAAATTTGGTCAACATTTTCATCCATAATAGCCTAAGAAAGGAATAAGTCTGTTTCGACACACTCTTGATGTGCGTCCGGTGATAAAAATATATCGGCTATAGTTCTATCCCCCATATAACATCTATGCTTATAACACTAATGAAGACCCATGATACTTCAACAGCATCGAACTACCGGTTTTTAGGACTGCTACAAATTAATTCGAACTTCTCGCTGCGTATTGCCTTTAAATTTTTTCATTAATTAAAAATTTAAATACTGGGTGTCCTGCTTGTAATGCATCACACATAAAGAATACAAACTATCCACGGCAAGTCCTCCATTTCAGTGTCTGCTGACTCGGAAGGCGGTGACATCTCCGGGATCAAGAATTCCAGGACCAGCTCTAACCCAGGAATGAATAACTGCTCCTCGGCATAGTTCAACTTATTTCAAAGAAGGCCTCTCAGGTACAATGGAGTTCTAGGTAATGAGAGAAATAATCACCTAGGTCAACTGCGGGTAGTAGGCTATCTGCACCGACTTGTCGTTCATTCAGCAACCGCCATGTTGAATGGATAAAATTTTAGAGGAGGAGGGTAGTCTTGACTGGCTAGTTATGATGATAAAAGGAAAACTCTTGAGGCTGCAGCCGTAACGTAACGAATATCAGAAGGCCACAAGGAAAGTTAGAAGTATAACAGGGAAATTAAACGGATCAAGCCAGTCAAACAGGCCCACACATTTAGTCGTGGACAATATTTCCCTGTCCTATCGGCTGCTCTACTTGTAGTCCATCTGGCAGCGTGGCCTCTACCTAACCGCACAACGCATCAGGTCTGGCAGCGCGGCAGTATTGCACTTACCAACACCGGCGCGCCCGTGGATAACCTCAGACAGCAGAAGTAAGGGCAGGCGAATTAAAGCAAATCTCTATCGAAATAATACAGCACAACGTGCCCATCTATCACTACAATCGATCACTGCATAAGTGAAAACAAGCTGGCCATGGAACTGTATGTCAGTCCGCATTGTCAGTCGGATCACCACTCAGGCCGCTAGTGCCGCCGATTTTGGAACGATAGTAGACCGCTGAATATTTTTTCAAAAATGATCTGGATCCGCTGAAATGTCAAAAGTTTAAGAGAGATTTCTTATATTTTTTTGGCTTTTGGCCTATTTTTTCGCCACCACTAGATCGATTTTCAAGAACTACAATTAATTGTGTCGTTGGTATAATAGTGAACTTGTGTTAAAGTTTCACAAAAATCCGACTGGTACTTTTTAAGGTATAGCGTGTTTAAGGATTAACGGATAGACGACAGACCTGCGGAAATGAGTGACATGGTTTTTCGTACGTACATGTCATTTAACATCCAAAAAACAGATCTCATTCTGCACGATTACAACACTTCCTCGCGTGGGAAGTAAAAAGTTATTATATTGACCCTGTAAAAAATGTGATATGTTTTACAAAAAGTTCCTAAAATAAAAAAAATATCCCAAGTACTTTCCCGGTCTCAAATTAAGATATTTTTTCAGACCTGACTATAGTATATCTGGTTGAGCTCCTTATTGATTGCTACTCAGTGCAACGTAAGCATTACCACCTACTGTTTCCATTTTTTTTAGGTCCACCAAACTACATATTTCCAATAAATATAAAGCACCTTTAGAGTGCTGGTGGGTCACCCTGTACCGTGCGTGTCTCAGTGTTGCCCCTAAAGGGTACTTATAATGC